AAACCCCCTTTTTTAATGAGTTATGAATTTTTATGTGATGGACCCAGGAACAGAAATTTGTTGAGGGTATTATATGCTGGTGAGATGATGGATTTAATGAAGCAAGGACATGAGCGCCGGGACATATGGATTCTTTGAACAGTGGATCTATAGGTATGGGGTAAGCGCAACGCGCATGATATGTTGATTTCATTTTCGTACTCCAAAAATTTATTGTTGTTTTGTTTTCCATTGGCTCGTTCATTTCGCTACTACTTATGTTTTTGATTTACTAGCACAGATGGTTCTTGACTATAGGAATTATCACATCACCTTTTTATTCTTTCTCAAAACAGGAACGGCCGTTTAACTCTCCCCTCTGTCCTCTTGCCAAACTTCTTCACCCTCCTCGCATCCCACGCATCCAACTGAACTGCACTTCTCTTTGAAGATGAAGATGACGGTGCCGGATGACCCGCCGTGATATTTCCGCACTGCGGCCTTTTGAGCTTATTTCCAAAAGTATCTGCCGTCCACAGCAGCACGCCATTTGTCCAGCCAAAGCCCTCGACGACTTCATACTCTCCTCCCCCGCCGGCGGCGTTGGTCGAGTTATCATCGTACTTTTCAAACATGATGCCGACGTCTTGGTCCGACAAGCCATGCAGCTTCGGTGTCTCAGAGGTCGATCCTCCAGTGGCGAGCCACGTACAAAACGTAAAGTCGAGATATCGCTGTCCCAGCCGCAGAGAGAGATTCTGAATGTCCTGGTACGAGGGATCCTGGGCCGTAAAAGTCGCGGGCACGTTGTTAAGCCCTTGCATGAGGATGTGCATGTGCGGCGGCCAGACGTTTGGCTGGTCCCACTGCTGGCCGGTCTGGACGTTGCTGGCTGGAATTCCGCCAGGCTGGGCGTCGAGATATCCCGCCACGCGGTCGTAGGCGCGAGTCACGGCATACGGGTTGTTCTTGATGTAGTCTGGCGCGGCGCCCGTCCAGAAGGGATAGAACTGGCCGACGTGGAAGAAGACTTGCTTGCCAGAAGGAGCGGTTTGTCTGTCGAGCGAGATTGTGTCTTTGTCTGCGGGGACGTACACGTACTGCGAGGACGAGGTCAGGTTGTAGTCGAAGTAGCTGAAGAGGGTTTCGTTCCAGAAGACGGCCTGGATGGCGGTGCTGCGGTTTGCGGCTCGTTCGGCCCAGGCGCGGGCGGCGGTGGCGTCGCCGGTTCGGTTGTAGAATTGCGAGATTGTGAGCTCGTTGCCGTACAGGATGGAGTTGAGGTCGACAGGGACGATTTCCTTGTTGTTGAGCGAGCGGAGGGGGAAGTAGACGTCGTTGATGGCGTCGGAAGGGTTAGCGAGCCAGCGGGAGGTGTAGTCGTTGCCGCTCTCGGCGCCGGTGGCGAGGTTTGCGTAGAGGTCTGCCATTTCAGTCGAGTTGAGGTGCTTGTTCTCGGGGTAGATGATGCCCGAAGTGGCGTAATAGGAGCGATTGTTGGCGGTGACATAGTCCTCCAGGAAGGATTCCGGCCGTGGCTGGGTGTTTTGCACGGCATACTGCTGCAGCGTGTACGTCTTGTTGGCAATGTCCACGCTGACGGTCCTGTTCCGGATCCAAAAGTCATGCTCTTTCACCAGCAGCGGCAGCGCCCTCTTCAAGATGCTCGTGTCATTCGTATGCTCAATGTAAATCCTCACCATCTGCGACAGCAGCGGTGGCTGCGACCTATTCAAGTAGTACAGCCGCGCGCCGTTGGGAATAAAGCCAAACCGATCAATAAAGTCGAGAAAGTTCTCAATCGTGTTCTTCGCAATGCCTACAAACGCACCACCCGTACGCAGCAGGCCCTCGATGATCCAGTACGAGTCCCAGTAATACGGCTCGCGGAAGCGGCCGCCCGCCACGACAAAGGTGCGGTTCACGGGGATGAAGCTGTTGGGGCAGGTGGAGCAGTTGCCCACGGCGCCGGAGTAGCGGCGCGTGAGGTCGGGCCAGATGTCGATGACTTTGGTGACGAACTGCTTGATGACGGTGTCGTTGATTTTGCCGAGGAAGGCCGGGTTGGTGGTGAGGCTGGACCGGGGCACTTCGACGAGTTCGCCGCCCGCGTCTGCAAAGTAGGTTTCGAGGAAGACCTGGAGGGAGGAGTCGTTTGTGAGGGGCTTGGAGAGGTTGTTGAAGGCGGCTTGGATTTCGCGGAGGGGTCTCTTGGCTGGCCTGGTGGTAATGGTGCGTGAGCCTTTTTTTTATATATATGCATGTGCGTTTTGATTTGAGATTTGGCTTACATGTCTACAAAGGTCTTGGAGTCGGAAAAGGGGTGTGCCAGCTGGATGTCCTGAAGAATATCTCCATGGCAGTAGATTGGCGAGTCGCAAGGTGCAATTACTGATCCATTGGTGTAAAGCGCGAGAGTTGCTGGCATTATAGCTGCCAAAGAGGCTGCTATGAACAATTGTAGCAAAGCCATCTTTTAAGGCTACGTTGAAGTATGAGAACTCTCAAGTACTTTACTCTTTCTGTTATGGATATGGTGGCTATATGGTGGCTATTTATAAATATAGGCATCCATGATACTCCCACATTATAGATACAATGTTAAATCTTATTTAATAACTGAGGAAAAAATCAAGGCACATCAACCTTGGCAGTAAGCTTGGCATGCATCACGAAGACTGGCTTCGAACGCGTCTCAACCCGCCACACCACTCAAACTTTTCCCCACTTTGCTGTTGATCGACTTTTGAGCCGTGGATTTCAGCAAGTCGGAGCATAAGCGGGCGGCACTATTGGGAGGTGATGTAGATGTTGTGGCTTGGTATGTCGTATGAGGCTTTTGGAGTTTTGTGTAGACGAGGCATCGCATATGAATGAGTGATGAATAAGTCGTCGTGGGGATTTGGAGTCTGTTTGTGAGCCTCATAATGTTATAGGAATCAAACTCATTGGCATTACTCATTTCTCATAGCAATTGGGTTGATTGCTGTGCATATTTCCTCCTGAACCTACATTTGACACAAAGGCTAAGCACCACAAGTGGCTGTCAAACATGCAGATTGTTTCAACCCGGGAGCTTGTCATCTTGAAAGATTCCCCACAGCTGCTTCTCCACAGATCTCCAAGTTGTTCTAGCGCTGGTTCAACGGCGTGGCGTCCCCTCGTCCCCGCACGGCACGAATCACAAGTATCGAAGTCCATCACCAGTGCATCATTCGGGATTGTTATCACGTCCTCAGGTTTATGTTCCTAGAGCGTTCCTTTTCTTCAAATCATGATACACTCTTTAAAATTTGCATAGTTTAAAGATTTCCTTTCAAAAGGCCAACTCATAAAGAACAATATACTCATGAGACTCATGGCTCTGTTGACATGGCGCGTCAGCTCTCTTATGGCTTCCGTTCGTTAGAACATCGCTTTGACGTCAAAGGCGCCAACTAACAAAACCCGCCCAGCTAAAGAGGGCAACTCATCGATAACTCAATGATAACCCTCATGTTTAGCGAAAAACTCAATCAGTCCTAAACTGTCACTCGCCGGAATCTCCGTCTCGGGGTAAGCCGTCTGAAGTTTTCACGTGGCCCGAATATGCTTCTTTCCGTGAAATGAGGCGTTTTGACGCGAATCAACTGCTTGGAACCAGAAATGTGAGGCTACTTGACGATCAGTGACATGCGCCGCGCAATTCGCCGAAGCTAATCAAGGTTGGTGACATGATGAGCTGATCATCAATCCGTTGCGAAGAGTTCAGCAATGCCACAACTGAGAGACTTGTGCAGTACCAAATACTCACGGGGGGCTGCGAGGATGGAACCAACTTTGCTTAATTGTACAATCTACTACCCCCTTTCATTCTATCGAGTCGTCTATGCAAACACCTTCTTAAACACCCTCTCCAGTCGGGCCAACACCTCCTCGCCATTCTGTGCAATCTGGTAGTGTGTAACAAGTCGGCCTCCGCCAACCTTCAATCCCTCGGCCTCGCTCAACTCAGTAAACTTCTCCGCGCTGCAGCTGGCCGCCTCGATATCCAGCCAAGCCATGTTCGTGTGAACCGGATGCACCAGCTTGCCGCCCATGCCCGTCCACAGCGCCTCGACCTTCTTGGCCATCTCGTGAGTCTGCTTCAGCAAGCCATCGCTGCCATCATCCTTTGTTCCAAACGTCTCATCCACCGCAACCCTCGCGCAAGCGGTGATGAAGCCCGGCTGCCTCATGCCTCCTCCAAGAGCCTTCCGCGTCCACCTCGCGTGCTGCAGAGTCTTGTTGTCCCCAACGATGATGCTTCCCACCGGAGCGCCCAGGCCCTTGGAGAAGCACAAACTGATGGTGTCAAACTGCGCGCAAAACTCCTTCAGGGTGCCTGCGCCGGCAACGACGGCCTCCCACAGACGCGCGCCGTCGCAGTGCATCTTGATGCTGTTCTCGCGGGCAAACTGAGAGATGCGCTTGACCTCGCTGAGGGGCATGATCATGCCGTTGAGGGTGTTTTCAAGACTGATGACCCGTGTAGGACAGTCGTGGACGTTGTCGCTGATGACGACGTTGGCCTTGACGTCCTCGAGCGTAAGATAGATGCCATTCTTGGGGACGACAGGCTTGACAGTGGCGCCGGTCAAGGAAGACACACTATAACATGCCAATTCGTAAGTCATCGGTGCTAGATACAAAGAGAGGGAGAAAGGAAAGGGTAAAGGTTAAAATTACGAACCCTCCGGCCTCGTAGCAAATGATGTGAGACCGATGGTCAGCCAGAACGGCGTGAGGAGGCTGAACCAAGAGACTCCTCAGAGAGACCTGGTTGCCCATTGTGCCCGAGAGAACAAACAGACCAGCCTCCTTGCCGGTCAGGCTGGCTACATGAGCCTCCAAGTCCTGCGTCGTTGGGTCCTCGTTGAAGACGTCGTCTCGAAGGGTGCACCTTGAGATGGCAGCCAGCATGGACGGCGTGGGGGTTGTCATGACATCGCCTATATTGTGAGCATGAAGACGTTAGTAAAAAGAGTGTTTTTTCCTCTTCTCTTTGTCCTTCTTTTTTATCTTTCCTCATAAAGGTTATTTTATAAAAAAAATAAAAGCAAGGCGGCAAATCTCACTTCGCAAATCCAGTGAACCAGCGCCCTTGACGCCCACCCAGGCATTGGATCCCTCAGCGCTTCCCATAATTGCTGCGTTGTTTCTGGCACTGCAACTCGAAAGATGCCGCTGTCTCGTTACTTGCTGTCCGAGCGTCCGCACAGTCTGCCGGCGTAGCAGAGATGCAGTATTCGAGGTCGAGATGACGGCAGAAAAGAACGAGCCCCTCATATTCAACATCAACGAGACGGAGCAAGTTGAGCCGAGTCGCTCGATTCATTGGAGGGGTTAAAAGATTTGGAGGCTAAACTGCCGGCCCCGCCGCCCGAAGGCTTGTCCGAGAACCGGCCCGTGATGCTGGAGACGAAACATCTAGGCGGAAGCGGTTGACGGCAATAGTATGGATATGCTATTGCTAGGTATTGTTATTGCTATACTATTTGTAAGGTCAATATGATTGGTGCGTGGTTTGGTTGGTTACTTTCAGGTTTACAACTTACTGCAATATGTAGAAACGTCAAGAGTAGGGTTGAAATCACCTTCTCCATCGACGATTAGGGATGCCAAGATGCCAAATCTACATTCAATGCAGTATTGATACATGCTCCGTAGCCTCGTCTCACAAATTTGACATTAGGAAACCTTTCACAACGGCAAGTAGTTGATTGCAGAACGCAACACGACCGTCCTGCTGGCCCCGTAACCCTGCCACCAATTGCGCTTAATCAATTACCCACCGCAGCCATCTGCTTACAGTGTCAACATCAAAGCCAGGGTGGCTAAAAATAAGCATGAAGGAAATCATGATGTTATCTGAACCCCCGTTCTACATTGCATCCCTGGAATCAACAGCTCGTAAGTACTCTCGAAACACTAGACACTGCTACGGCCTGTACTTTGAATTTGCACTTGTGCAACTCCACAAGTATTAGTCTATACCCTTGTAGAACAAGAGCCTCGCTAACAAAAACGCATGTCGCACAGACATCAATCGACAGCAAGCAGATCTCTTGGCACACGGGTCCGATCCGATTTACTCACCAGCTTCATCTTCCCCTGGTCAGCCTATCCTATATACCTATACCACCACTACTACATACTGCTATTCACTTGCGTTTCAACCTTGCTTTGGATAAAAAGAAGCTTTGCCTCAAACATCTCACTTCTGGGAACCTTACACGGCATTAGCGCCCATTTCTAGATTATCACAATTAAGAGATGGGCCGCCGCTATTCCGGGAATGGAGGGTGCCGAGTGACACCCATGTTCCAGGCACCATGACCTTATAACAAAAACAACGAGAATCCCAACTATTAGCGTGGATATGAGAAGGATTCGTCGGGAACAATGGGGGGCTCAGCTTATTCGTATTTAACTAGCGTGTGTTGGCTCGGGCAGAGAACACAGTCGTGTGAGTACGAGCGATGGGAATACAAATCAGCAGTAATACGAACAAGGAAACAGTATATTAACGAGAGAGGAAAGGTCCTTGTTTTTAGCTCGGAGGCTGACGAAAGCGTCGAGCAGTGATAACAAATACGATTTCGGGGGGGTCCCAACAAAGTGTGGCGTTACTTTCGTACTTTAAATAGAGAAGAGGAGAAGGGGAAAGTTTATATTTTACTCTCTTCTCCACGCCAAAAGAGGAAGCATGTTTTCATGTTTCTTCATATAAAGGAAAAGATATAGGGAAGAGAGAGAGAGAGAGAGAGAGAAATAGAGGGAGACAGAGAGGGGATAAGAAACCTCTCTACAAATTGCGCGTACTAGAATGGGAAGAAAGGAAATGTTCAGGCATGAGAGATAACATCACGACGGCTCCGCTACAATGATTTCGCGGCCATTTCCACTCGTTTTCCTTGCCGGGCTGTTCAGTCTCATCTGGTGGCTGTCGAATCAACCGCTGTTCGCCTTGCATCAGGAGCGGCAGCGCATCTCCAACCTCGACCTGGTGCTGGGCGAGAAGCTGCCGTCGCATCTCAACTTCTCCACCAGCAACTCTTCTGGCAATCACGACTTTTATTCTTCAAACCAGGCGCGAGCCTTTTGCCAGGCTCATGGCTACAATGTCTTTACGCCCCAGGCACCATCAGGCGAGCGCAAGATCTACGACCTGGTCATGGTCAACACAGAGCTGGATTGGCTGGAGATTCGGCTGGAGACCATGTACGATCACGTCGACTACTTTATCATTGTAGAGTCGCCCAAGACTTTCCAGGGCGGCAACAAGGCCCTCATCGTGCTCAACAACTGGGATCGTTTCCAGCGCTACCACGACAAGATGATCTACCACCAGCTGACCTTTCCGGAGTGGTTCGACCCCAAACGTCCCTGGGATTATGAGGACCTACAGCGCGATGCCGGCTACGACCAGGTCTTCCCACAGTTGACCGGCCGCTCAGCGCCAGTCCTCGGCGACGTGATACTCGTGGCCGACGTGGACGAGATCCCGCGACCCGAGACGCTCTTCCTGCTGCGCACATGCAGCTTCCCAGCCCGTCTCACGCTGGCCTCACGCTTCTACTACTACTCGTTCCAGTTCCTCCATACCGGCCCCGAATGGCCTTTCCCACAGGCCACCTTCTACCGCGGCCAGCGCACCATCCGACCGACCAACCTGCGCGCCGGCATTGGCGGCATCCCGCTGCTTCGGGACCTGGACAAGGGCCACGTCTCCAACGCTGCGTGGCACTGCAGCAGCTGCTTCGCCACGATAGAGCAGTTCCTCAACAAGATGGCCAGCTTCTCGCACGTGTGGATGAACCACGAGTACTATCGCGACAGGGACATCATTGCCGACGCGGTCCGAGAGGGGAGGGATGTCTGGGAGCGCAAGATTGACACGTTTGAGAAGATTGAGAGGAATCAGGACGTGCCGGCCGTGTTGTTGAGAGAGAGGAAGAAGTACAAGTATATGTTGGATAGGAGTGGAAAGTCTGCTGGCTTTATTGATTACCCATAATTTTGGACCCAAGGATAGAAGTACGGAATAATTGGATTAAGAGCGGGCGTTGTGATTGCATATATGCCGGGATTTAATACTACGCATGACGTTTTGTATGATAGCGACCAGAGCAAACAGATTCAGAGCTGAGATGAGATGAGTCAATATTATCGGTAGGAATACTACCGCCGCCTATCTAGGCATCATATCTATATTAATTAAAGAGAATGACTTCCAAGCACGCCATGCCGGTATTTAATTCATCCTTGGAAAAAAACTCCATGAAACCCCCTCCTATAGCATATCCCTTACGGTCCCGTTCCCAGAAAAGAACGCCAGAACCACCAACGCCCTTTGGAAAGTCCCCTAGCAGACTCTCAGCCCCCTACAGCGATCACATCACAGTGCGCCGTATTATCGCCGTGGTCGCTGGATGAGACAGACAGTCTGCTACAGCACCAGCTAAAAGCAATTTGGTTGTGCTGGGCCACTTTCCATCTCAACCTGTTCTTTGGCTACATGTATCAGCCAAGTAGCCAGGTGGCCATATCAAATTGTGTAAAATCCCGTGCTGCAGGCCAAGGTGTTAGTTAGTATGCTTATTTATGCATATGATTTAGAAAGCAGATGAAGCCACCTACCGTTGTAAGAGCGGGATAAGCTCGTATCAAGACTCCATAATTTGTGTGCGGGAGTTGTCTGAAAAGAAACGGGGCTTGTCTATTAATCAATCAATTACTTGGTCGAGAGATTTTCAGCATATTTCAGCGCCACTTAATATCTTACTTACAATCAACCCCCAGGCCAAAAAAAAAAAAACCGTTTTGAACTGCCCCCACCCTCTCAAGATCTTTGAAAAGAACCTTGGAGAGAGAGAGAGAGACAATCGAGAGGGAATCAAGGCTTGAAATACCTACCAAATGCCATTGCTGCTTGCATCTCCAGACACAAAAAGTGGGGTTGGCGATTCTCTGGTTGTGTTTACGTGTTTACTTGGATTCGCCCACACGTCTCTGCAGCTGCAATACATGTAACCAGTCTTACGCTGTATTGTCTATCACATGTAAATCATCGTTCTAGGCGGCTGATGCCCAGAATCTGTGCTGCAAAGCCACTGACGGCAACTCGTAGAACGTCCTCACAGCCAAGCCCATCTTGTCAATTGAGAGAGACCTAACCAACTCCTTCCTATCCCCAGTCTAAACAGCCATATTCCAGCATGACCATCTCGTCAATTTCCCTTCCGCTTATTCTTTCTTTCGCCTCCCTTCTTCAGACTCTTCAGACTCTTGCTATTCAATCTTCCGCTCTGCTCTTCTTTCTCAACAACAAGAACAGCATCGTCATCGTCCCCTCTCATCCCTTTTTACCCCTCATCATCACCACACTTTCCCCTCCCGCGCGAGCAAATCCCCTTCAACCACGCTCACTTACATGGCATTGCAAGCACAGCGCTGCATGCAGCACATGGTGTAATCCATCCACGCACATGTGCATTCAATAAACACATTCCTGCAAGAGAGAGAGAGAGAGAGAGAAACAAAAAAGTAATTTGCGGCTCTTGGATATCTGCCCAACATTCTCTTTTGCTTCTCATTCGCCCGAATATCCATTCTTGCCCAAACAACCATGGCCAGATAAATCACTGGGAAGCCTCCCAAAAGCCTCGAACGTCTTTCTCTTCATGCCGGCGTCCCACCAGGACCAGCACCGGCATATGATTGAGTAATTGCCAGCCTATCTAGCAGGCATTGCCTTTGCTTTTCTCACTTGTAGCATCCCGCATGGTGCGTATTTTGCGTCATTGCGCCTTTGCCTCACATTACATTACATTACATTACATTACATTACATTACATTACATTGCATTCGGTGAGACAGATAAGCAGCGGCGCACAAGCACCAGCGCAAGCAGTAACAACAAACACTTGCATATTCTCTCAGCCTCCTATTTTAAAATTGCAGAAGAAAACAAAAAAAGAGGAAGAAAAAGGGAAATGTGAGAATAAGATGGAAAAATTTTCATCACCGTCTCTCCAGATTGGTCCAGTTCAGGCAGCTGCCGCAGAAGCCATCACCTGATTCTTTGCTTGGCCAATGCCAAATTGCGAGCGCCTATCCGATCCGATGTTTACTGCAGCGGCTGCTGCTATTAAGTACTGTAATAATACCTCAGATATACCTACTATACCTAATAGCAGCACTCAAGCACTCTGTACTAGGATATTTACATACAAGCAACACACCTATGTTCCACTCTATAGCATCCATATCAATCAACGCTACAGCTAATAATACACCAGCTACAGTAGGCATGTAATTATCTTACACAACCATCTCATCCCGCATCGCGCGCTCAATCCATATACCTACTACCTACATGTATGTATGTACGTACGTGCCTTAGCAGACATGAAAGAAAAGGGTAGAAAATACCCACCCCTACTTGATGCGCTGGCAGTCTTCCACCACCACCACTAAACAGGCGACACCCCGGCACACTCTGCAAACATGCAGCGCTACACACACCAAAAGAGCAAAGGCATCACATCATATAGCACATCAACAAGGATTTGGTTTCATGCACTTTCCAAAAGCACTCGAAGCAAATGTACATACACAATAAAAATCAAATGCAAATAAGTCTTCTTTGATCTTTTTTGTCCTCTCTCTGTCTTTTTTACAGAAACATGATAATTAGTAGTACTGTACTCACTTTATACCAATACATGTAAAATCCCAGAAAGGAAAGAAAAAAGAAAAAGAAGAGGTAACAAAACAAATCCCCCCCAACCACCCGTTCTCTTCTCTTCTCTTCTCTTTACAGTCCCATTATATTTTTCCTCTCACAGCAGCACGCACCGCACCGCTTGCTCCGTATATGCCTCCCACCCCCAACCCCCAGCTCCAAGCCCGCAAAGCACCAATCCAAATCCAAATCACCAGACAGGGAATGCGGCGCTTGTCAACTGCACTGATGAGTTGGCCAACGCATCAAAGTGGTCCGTGTGTAGCCTCGAGATCCGTTCAACCCACACACGCCTTTCTTTCTTTCTGCTGCGCTCGCTCGCCATTCTTCTCCTTCGCTCTTCGTCCAGACAGCAATTTCTCCTTTATACTTATGCCCGCTCTCTCACACTCGTCCTCCCTTCTTCCTCTTCTTTTTTCCCTTTTTTTCTCCCGTCAAGCAGCAGCCTGGCTGATCTGACCCGCGTGGCTGGTGGTGCTCTCCCCCCACACTGGCACACGCTATTGCAGCATGCGCTGGCGGAGGTACTTCCCCAGCCCCGCGCATACTTTACTCAAGGCTTGTACCCTTCCCACACTGGCTTTTCCAAGGACCAAACCGCCGGGACTCTTCGCTCCATGGATCTCGCCTCTATTTCTATGTCTCCAGGCCGTTTCACCTTTACGCCATCTATTCGCTAGGTTATGCTTGAGAGGCTTGCTCATGGGACTTCCATAGACAACGCCACCAAGCCGTGACCGATCTTCTATCACTGGTTCCACTTGGGAGAAAGATATCTTTTTTTTTCTTTTTTCTCTTACTCTTACTCTTGCAGAAAATGCTATAAATCATCATTCATATCTCATCGCCCGGATCGCTTGCTATACATAGGCGCGCCTTGGAGTTGATCTTGTCCATGGAAAAGAAAAAAAAAAGAATCGAAAAGTCGCAACTTATCCAACCAAAGAAACAGGAGAAAAGGGTGACAAAAAGACACGGGCAAGTGCCCACCATGCTCCACGCCCCAGTTCCGTTTTCTATATCTCACACGATGCCTCCGGATGCTGTCTTTCTTTTACTTCCATCCATACCTGGAGCCAAAACGGAGGATTATCTCAAAGGTTAACCCCGGTCGAGAGCCAAAAACAAAACAAAAAAAATTGCCATGGTCGCCATCATCTTTCATGAGAGTTCGTGAGAGAGGAAATTTATATACCGTCTGCCGTCCGTCCGGAAAATATCTCGCCTTCCTGTCGCATAGGTGGCGGGTTGTGCTTCGCTCAACAAGGTGCCAGGTCTAGTCGACCTCTTTGCACTGGGGGTTTGGGGGGGTTGGGGCATTAAAGGCATTAATGGCCAGCGCTGTTCCAGTCCTGTCTGCTTTGAAGTTCCTGGGCACAAAGGTCTTCTGCTATGTCATTAGACGACTAGGCAAACTTTCCTAGTTGTTGTGTACTTAGCAAGAGAAGGCCTTCACCGACCGGCCCACTTCATCAGGAACTGCACCACGGCATCGAGATTTGTCTCGTGTTTAGCACTGATGCCGTAGCAGCAAACCTCACGGTGCTGGATGCTTTTCAAGTCCAGTTCATCAATCAGTTCATCCACGGACAGCTTCTCAGGGAGGTCAGACTTGTTTCCGAGGACAAGCAAGGGGATCCCGCCCAGAGACGGGTGGGCCATGAGGGAGTGAAGCTCCTCCTTGGCCTGAGGGATGAGTTCTACATCCGCAATGTCTACGATGAAGACGATGGCGTTCACGCCACGGCAATACCGCTCCCACATGGTGCGAAAACGCGGCTGCCCACCGATATCCCAGCACTTGAGTGTAACATGACCCCGTTGCACACGCTTCATATTAAACCCGACGGTCGGAATCGAGCTACACAAGAAGCACAGTCAGTAATCGGGCTTGCATTTCGAACACATCCTTTCAAAGACGGATGACATGGAGACGATCCGACAACTGCCGGCCACCCCATGGCGCGAAGACGAACAAGAGGACGATGAGAGAGAGGGGAATGAATGCGCTTACTCAAGTGTGAACTCTCCACCCTGAAAGATCGTACGAGCAACCATCAGTCAGCCTAACCCAGCAGAGGAATATCATGTCGCAAAGAATGGGAAACCTACAGCTAGTACTCGCAATAACGACGTCTTTCCAGCATTTTGCAACCCAACCATGGTCACCTCCATTTCCATCGCCCTAGCATCACCAGTCAGAATCCAAGCACAGGGCTCAAAGAGAGGCAAGCGGGCAAGCCCAGGTCCATCAGCGCTGCGACGCACCATGCAGCCAAGCAGCGGTATCGTGGGCCCCGCCTCAGCAACTGCGAAATATTTACTACTCACCAGAAAGTCCGCAGCAGCCAGTCATACACCTTCCTAAATAGCCCAGCCATATTTGTTTTTCTTAATCGTTACACAAGACAGCGATCGAATATCGGTACAAGAGAAGCGAGAGAGAAGGAAGGAGGCGAGACAGGGGAAAAGAGATCGTATCAGTAGATGGTATCGCAAGGGTTCAAGTCGACGGTACGACCGGCGGTCAAATGCTGTCTCAGGAAGTCGCGCAATAGGGACAGTCGTCGTGAACGATACACTGCGAACAGCGCAGTCAAAGAATGTCGTGCGGAAGCTCGTGAACAAATCTATCAATTTACCGACAACGGCGCAAAGCTCGTGCGGATGCAAAGCTTGCCGCCTGGCATGCGGATGGATGAAGCAGCAATGGCGAAGATCGACACCTCTGTACGAAGTAGCTGCGAAAGGATAGGTAAGCTGGGTGCTAAGCTCGTCGGCTGTGTTTGGCGATGCGCCGTGTCTGTGCAGGGAGAAAAAAATGTTCAAGGGCAAGAAAAAAAAAGAGATGGGGCAAGATAGGGATGCGGAGGGCAAGATTCAAGGTTGTTGCGCAACGGTTGGTCCAAGTGACATGAGGGCTTGAGGTGATGGCGGAGGAAGCACCAGAGGGAACCCCACCTGGAGCAAGATGGATGGTGGTCGAGACAGACGAGCAGTGCGGGCTGGCGGGCGTCCAAGCACGAGCTTTTGCTGGGGGGAAACTGGGTGGTTTGGGAGAGGCTGACCTTGTGTGATGCGCTCGTCTGGAATGCGAGGGAGGCTGTAAAGAGATGCAGCAGCAGAATTCGATTGTAGAGAAGGGCGTGCGTCGTAGAGTCAAGCGTAGGCGGCGTATCGTAATCGCAGCTAAGCACCTGTTGACGTAGGTCCGAAGCTGGCAAATTCGCAGCTTCAAGACGGCAAGCTACGCCGCTATCTGGACTGCTAGTGGACGGGGGGTATGCTCGCCCGCAGCACAAAGATGGGCAAAAAGAGAATGGGAAAAAACTGGCTACTCGTGGACCTCAGCCAACCAAAATGCAAGAGGCAGCCTAGGCGGCGGTAGCTCTGCTTCGTCGCAGCGGTACCCCAAAGAACCTGCGTGCTAGCACCGTGCGTGCGCAACTTCGGGACGTCGTATGGAAGCGGGTATGCTGTGTTTGTCGAGTCACCAGACCTACGCTGCCAGTAGAGGTTAACCGCTGCCCTGTGCAAATTCTGCTGTTCCATTCATTTGTGCAGACTGGGCCGATCATGGGCCGGGGGGGTATCAGAATGCATAAGAGCAGGCAGTACCTACCTTGTTGTGCCCTGCTGGAGCAGCTCAGGATTTTGTGCAGAAAGTGAAGTCTTTATCCCAGCGTCTCGGATGGAGGTGGTGCCTGTGCTTAGCTTGCCACGGACGGCGGCTAATGCGAGTGCGCACCTCGCCTGGTGATGGGAATTGCCTTGGGGGAGACGTCTGGTCTTGTGCCGGTGATCTCAATGACAGGCTGCAGGCGTACTAGGCCATTTCCAGCGCTTCTAACGAGACGGGCGTGCAGTAGACTATGGAGTACAGCGCCTAGCAGCAGCGTGGTGTTGATGACTGTCGTGTTTCGTCTCTCTGCTGTGGTGTTTCTGTGTGCGGCGCGTTCCTTTCGGTATTTGCTAACGGAATAAAGCCGTACAGTACACGCTCGGGGATTGTAAACAGCGGATGATGGAATCCACGCCGATGGGTCGATTATAAATGACGACGAGGGTGATGATGGCGATTCAGACGAGGATGAAGAGGGTTAAGATGAAGGCGATAAGGTGGGGTTGGTTCGATGGAAAGAGGGTCGGGTTGGACCACCTGCCTGCTGCTACTGGCCGGTTACTGACTTCCAGCGTAACGAACAATAAGGTTGGCAGGCAGCGACTTCATGCTTTCTTGGGGAGCTCTCATGCCCCGCCATTGAGCCCACGACCTAGCGATAGCACCTGAAGGAGCTATTACGCCTGTAGAAGCACTGTAGTCTCGTGCTTTCTACGAAGACTACACCAGCTTTACTTCGTGTATCGGTAGAACAACTGCATTCGCTCCATATTGCATGAATTATTCCATGCATCTCAAATCACACCCGGCCTGTTTCTGCCCTGTGCTGTGTCCACGAGGCACTGCTAGCTCTCTTCTGCCTCCTCTGAGGGCTGCTTGCTGGACCCCGTCGCTCATCCTGATCTAGCCGATCGGGACGAGTTTTAGAACAAGAAGGATGCGTGGACGTTCCAATTTAGAGCCCCTGCTCCAACGCCGGGCACCTTTTTGTAATTATGGGCAGCTTCTTTAAAAGAGTTTTGTGGAAGAGGAGGTTCCAGGCAAAAAGCCCTTTGCGCCAAAGATTACGGGGGTTTTCTACGCGCCCTTTAAGTAGTAGAAGGCTTCGCCAAACGTGCTCTGAATCAAATCAATATTCATAGCAAACGCAGAATTTTCATCATATTTCAGCCGCCGGGTGCTGAAAAAATTGTCACTGATACTGCGCAATATACAGGGGTCGGAATGTCTTGACTGTGGATCGCCGCTACATAAAGCTCCATGTATGAGACAAGATACGGAAATATCATGACCAGGGGGTGCCGCTTTTGGGAGGAGGCCAGGCATAATTACGTCGAGAACCGCTTCCATGACACCTTAATATCTGCCAAATAAAGTACTTGGCACACCAATTCAGCGGTCGTGGTCATCCGTCACTTTGCTGGATGTTGGCGGGTGTCGGACTGCGACCCATGCGGCAACATATGGGACGAAGCTCGCTAAAGCTGCTCGCCCCATTTTCTAATAATACTTGAGATCGGTGGCTCTGTTTCTCTCTATCGTACCGTACGCCTTAATACCTACTCATGTCACTTACTGCTGGCGGCTAGTAAAGAGGAGGCTGTGGGAGACCCAGCTTTACCTCGATATCACATGCTCCAGAATCAAGTACATACAGTCGAATGCTTATATCATCAGCAATGTATGCCTGTCTAAAAAACCTTTAATTTCGAATTAGAGAGATGGTTCAGAGGCCATGCGGTATGTTTTCTTGCTTTTTGTCACAATACCTTCGGGAGTGGAGAGGCATCGGATATCCAGGCTTGACCCTACTTTTTGAGTAATATTTTCAACGAGGCTATACTGGTTACTATGCTGCGAGGCAACATATTGAAGAGGTCTTCAAATTAAGTCCATTTGTTCATATTTCAAGCTTTAGAAAGACATTTATAATGATACTCTGAGCGTGATAAGCATGAAGCCTATATACCTGATTTATTAGCATGGCTTTGAGCGAAGTACCGGAATCTTTCCCTTCACTACTATTCTAACCTGCATCAACAGTTGTTCACTTGTGTATGCATGTGTACTGCTAAATTTCCGTCTATTATAGACACAGGTAATTGGAATTTTGGGTGAAAGATGAGTAATACGGCATTTGTGGTGAATAATCGAACGATCTGTGTTCTCTCGATTCAATGCTGCGATGCGATTCGGTTGTTATTTCTGAGATCCATTTCCGATACCGCAATCATCAGCAATGCTAAGTTGGACGCCGTAGAGACTAGATCCTTATGCCGAGAAGATTCACCAGAATGAATTCATGATGTATATCGTAAAGAACAACACATTGGCACTCTTTCCAACAAGTCTCTTTATTTACTCCATCTGATTCCTAGTTAACAGCCACAAGCTATGACAGCCACAAACCAGCCATACGCCGCCTGGATGCATGCCATCGACTGCTTATGTCACTGCTGGCTAGCACTATCGATAGCACTATCTCATGTGACCCACTATCCTTATCAGTCAACTTTTTTTTTCTTCTATGGGGACCGCAAGCTATCTGCGAGAAGTGTTTGCCGAATTGCCTCCAATTGCAATTGACCTGGGGCAGGCGCTTCATTAATTTCTAAAACGCTCGAGAAGAAGCTGCCTGTCTCGATGCATTAATTCTCAGGCATTGTGCTTTATAATTGATCTCTAATTCCGAAACCCACCTGCGCAGTCGCGATTCAGCTTTCTAGCGATCATCTATTCGACATCAGGCATCATGGCACCATCAGCCACCAGCACAGAATGGGACCACCAGTTCCATACTTTGCGTCGCCAGGATCTATTCCGCAATCCTCCAACCGACCATTCCGCCTATCCTGCTCTCCAGTTAGCAGTCAATCCTCACATTGAGTCGTTCAACGCCATTTTCCGCGGTGATGGAAAGCCCGGCCTTCTTGCGCATGGCCTGGCGGATATTGGGACAAAAGTTTTCCTCGACGGCAACGACCGCGCTGGCCCAGAAGGCAAAAACCGCCTGAATATTCGAATCAAGGAGGTGACCCTGCAGAAGCCGCAGGTGCCGCCATCCAATAAGCTAGCCTTGAACAGAGAAATTTTCCCTGCTGAATGCAGAGAGAGACATGCTACCTACAGAGGAAAGCTCTCCGCAACATTCGAGTATAGCATTAATGGCGGCGACGCCGTCGAATTCACCCGAGAGCTTGGTCAGGTTCCTATCATGATCAAGGTAGGAAGCTCCCCTACACATTTTCATCATGAGCTACCGAGCTTTGCTTACAAAGCGTAAACAGTCAAACAGGTGCCATCTCGAGAATAATTCGCCAGCTTTGCTGGTCCAACGCAAAGAAGAATCCGAAGAACTTGGTGGATACTTTATTGTCAACGGTAATGAGAAGATTATCCGTCTGCTGCAAGTGAATAAACGAAATTTCCCCATGGCTATCAACCGTCCGAGTTTCACAAACCGAGGTGCCGGATACACCACGTACGGTATCATTCTTCGATCAGTCAGACCCGATGAAACCTCTCAAACGAATGTGCTGCATTATTTGAAGGATGGAAATGTGACATTCAGGTTTTCATGGCGCAAGAACGAGTACCTCATTCCCGTCATCATGATATTGAAGGCTTTGGTGGAGACCAATGACAGGGAAATCTTCGAGGGTCTTATTGGACCCATGGGCTCTAAAGCAGCCAGTAACACTTTCCTCACAGACAGAGTAGAACTCCTGTTGAGAACATACAAAGCCTACCGCCTCTACAGCAAGTCAGAGACTCGCGCCTACTTGGGTCAAAAGTTCAGGGTTGTCTTGGGAGTGCCGGAAACAATGTCAGATTATGAGGTGGGAACTGAGTTCCTGCGCAGAATTGTTTGTGTCCACCTGGGTAATGTCGATGTCACGGAGAAGCAAGATCTGGACAAGTTCCACATGGTTCTGTTCATGATTCGAAAGCTCTACGCTTTGGCTGCAGGTGAATGCGCCGTCGACAATCCCGATGCTATTCAGAACCAGGAAATTTTGCTTGGTGGATTCCTCTACGCACAGATTTTGAAGGAGAGGCTTGATGAATTTCTCGGAACGAGCGTCCGCAGCGCTATTCGAGACTATCTGAGAAGGCACCCGGCCGTAAACTTCACCTCTGAAGAGTTCAAAAAGGAATTTCCGGGTGGCATCTTCAGAAAGTCGAATGAAAACATTGCCAATGGCCTCGAATACTTCCTATCCACTGGTAATCTAGTCAGTCCTTCTGGTCTTGATTTGCAACAAACGGCCGGCTTCACGGTAGTGGCAGAAAAGCTTAACTTTTTGCGTTTCATCAGTCACTTCAGAATGGTTCACCGTGGTGCTTTCTTCGCCCAGCTGAAGACAACTGCCGTGCGTAAGTTGCTGCCGGAATCTTGGGGCTTCATGTGCCCTGTCCATACGCCCGATGGTTCTCCTTGTGGTTTGCTCAATCACATGACACACAAGTGTAAGATTATGACTGACCATGTCGACGTGTCCAACATTCCCGCGCTTGTTGCCGAGCTGGGTGCTGTGGAAACATCATCTGCCTCCACTGATGAGAGCGTTGTTGTTATGATGGATGGCAAGGTTATCGGATGGTCCACTCCGAAGGAGTCCCTCCGAATCGCAGATTGCTTGAGATACTGGAAAGTTGAGGGCACGCACAGAGTGCCTCTGCAGCTTGAGATTGGCTACGTACCTCCATCAAACGGTGGATCATATCCCGGTCTCTACCTGTCATCAACTCCAGCCAGAATGGTGCGCCCCGTCAAATATCTGCCTTTACAGAAGGAAGACTTTGTGGGTCCCCACGAACAGCCCTACATGTCAATCGCCGTCGTTCCGCAGGAGATTGAATCTGGAGTATCGACACACGTTGAATATGATCCGACCAATATGCTTTCTATTCTTGCCAACATGACCCCGTTCTCAGACTTTAACCAATCCCCACGAAACATGTATCAGTGTCAGATGGGTAAGCAAACTATGGGAACGCCTGGCACGGCTATTCGCCACCGAACAGACAACAAGTCATATAGGATACAGACGGGTCAGACGCCCATCGTTCGTGCACCTCTTCACAATACGTATGGCTTCGATAACTTCCCCAACGGTATGAACGCCGTTGTAGCGGTCATTTCCTATACCGGTTACGACATGGACGATGCTATGATCATCAACAAGTCCGCTCATGAGAGAGGCTTTGGCCATGGTACAGTGTACAAGACCAAGAAGATATCGCTAAAGGACGACTCCAGAACGAGAGCCGCTAAGAGCGTTGTCAAGATGTTCGGTTTTGCCCCTCACAGCTACGTTAGCGCCGCGTATCAGGGCATGCTGGATGACGATGGCCTGCCTCACGTCGGCCGAATGGTGAAGGAGGATGATGTTTTGTGCGCATGGCACACAGTCACGCCGGATTACAACGGAAACTTGGTCAACCTTGATGGAATTACCCACTATGAGAAATACAAGGACTCCGAAATGGGCTTTATCGAGGAAGTCCGACTAATCGGTGCCGAGTCCGGCTCTGAGCCCCTGCAGACCATTTCAATCAAGATTCGAATCCCTCGCTCTCCCATCATTGGTGACAAATTCTCGTCCAGACACGGACAGAAGGGTGTCTTGTCGCAGAAATGGCCGGCTGTGGATATGCCCTTTTCAGAAACGGGTATCCAGCCTGATGTCATTATCAACCCCCACGCCTTCCCATCTCGAATGACAATTGGTATGTTCGTGGAGTCGCTTGCCGGAAAAGCTGGTGCTCTGCATGGACTGGCGCAAGATTCTACTCCATTCAGATTTGACGAGCAGAACACGGCAGCCGACTACTTTGGACACCAGCTGATGAAGGCTGGATTCAACTATCATGGAAACGAGCCAATGTACTCTGGTATTACTGGAGAGGAGCTCGGCGCCGACATCTACATCGGCGTGGTCTACTACCAGCGTCTGCGTCACATGGTCAACGACAAGTATCAAGTCCGAACCACCGGTCCAGTCGTGCCCACGACAGGCCAGCCCATCAAGGGCAGAAAGAGAGGTGGTGGTATCCGTGTGGGAGAAATGGAGCGTGATGCCTTGTTGGCTCACGGCACAGCCTTCTTGCTGCAAGACAGACTGCTCAACTGCTCAGATTACACCAAATCGTGGATTTGCCGTCGCTGTGGATCATTCTTGTCTGTGCAACCAACTGTCTCTCAATTTGCGCCGGGAAAGAAGAAGGCCCCAAGCATGGTCCGTTGCCGAAACTGTGCCATCAAGTTGGACGACAGCGAGGGCATCGACCTCACAGAGATCCAGGGCGAGATTTGGGAAGATGGCCAGGGCAACTGCTGGGTTGGCGGCGATCAAACGACGCAGGTCGTGGTCCCGGGTGCGCTCAAGTTTTTGGATGTCGAGCTGGCAGCCATGGGTGTCAAGCTAAAATACAGGATAGATCGGTCAGACGAGCCTCGCAAGGGGCCAATGAAGCCGCTAAAGCAGATTTCCATTGGAGCTTAGTTGGATGTTTTGAGACAAAAAGGATTGAGATTTGGATGAGACACAAAATGGGGTTGTATATAATTTGGCTGGTTGGTGTTGACTGCATTAGTAAGATATTAGATGCATATTTGAGCAATTTGATAAGAATATATTGGGTATCTAAATCCTAATCCCTTACCTCTTACCTTTCTCATTGTGACGAGGTCTCGGCCGCGCATAGGAGCACAAGCAAAGTCTCAAGCTGATGATATCAGAGTGCAGCACGCATCTTTGTGTGTTACGAAACACAACCCTCGCAGTCGAGATCTGGGCTTGCCGCTTGCAACGCTGGGACGGATAATGCGGCAGCATATACGTAGACGTTAAAGAGAGTCTAGATGAAGGGCATGTGTGACCAAGATATAATAAGGAGAGGCTCTCCCGTACTTGCCGCCTCCCAATCCAGACCCTGGGTCCTGAAACTTGCCAGAAGCACAGCTCGTGATCCAGATCCAGAACCTCATATTTCCCGTTTCAGCTCCCGCCTCGTTCTATTCTGATTGGAGCCAAGACATGCTACGCCACTCGCTAGAGATAGACTCGCCTCATGATCAGCTCCGGCTTGGCCACAACGCCGAAAGGGACAAGAGCAAAGGCAAGGGATATTACAGGCTTGAAGCCTCCACAAGGATACGAATCTAATTTTCAGGAACCACGTGGTCCTGGTTCCGCTGAAATCGCGCCCAGACAGCTGGGAATCCAGGTATCTGTGACAGAGGCGGTACCTTGGCCTTGGCACCGCTGCACTTGGGGGCCTTCTTTCCGTTTGTGCCAGCTGCTTATCAAGACTTTTTCTTCCACTTCGTCTCGCTTCCTGAATTCTTCTTGTCTTCCATTTCTTCATCCTGATGGTATCCGAGAGACCACTGCTGTGTATTCGGTCGCGCGCTTGGGCTGATGCTTGCTTGTGTCTTCTTTCTTCCTCTCCTTTAATCTCGGCGCCCATTTGCATCCTCTTCATTCTTGCCTCCCGTTTCTTTTGGTGAAAGACAGCATACACTCTTTTTTTCCATACCATTGGATGCTCCTACGCTCTCTTAATCTGCGCTTTGATAAACTTTGGACGATTGGTGTGCTCGAGGCGGTCTACGCGCTGGGACATTGAAGTTGCCTAATCGCTCTTTACAGCCGGGTCTGTTGGGAGAAAGAGGCCAGTGCAAACCATGCGCCTCTTTCTGCTCCTTGTTTGGGTTTTATGCTCCGTTATATCTGGAGTTTTCGGCCAAGATTATGATTTCGGCGTTGATTTGGTATCTCTCACACGACGACAGGACCCCAATGCGCCCATCGTCGTCAGTCGCCTGCCACTGGCTGCCAATGGGAGTATGCCCCTGAGACTTGAGATTCGTAATGTACAGGCAGATAAATACAAGTGGGATCTGTACGTGTTGGCGCTGAGTATGCTTCAGTCAGTCAGCCAGGACGACCCCATGTCGTATTACCAAATTGCCGGTTAGTGAGACTCTGGACCGACTTGGCTCTAGTTACGAGGCTCTGATGAATCTCTCTCCATCTAGGGATACACGGTGTACCCTTTGTGACATGGAACGGCGTTGGGCCAGCAGAGGGCGCGAGCCTGTCGGGCTACTGTCCGCATAGTTCTGTGCTATTTCCGACTTGGCACCGGCCATATCTAGCCTTATACGAGGTCAGCTCTCTTCAAGTCCCAATCGTCGATACTGCTGCAGTCTGAATGTCATTTGTAAGACGCGATACTGACTTATCGCAGCAAGAGTTACATAAGCTAGCCAATGCCATTGCTCGCATGTTCAGCAATGTGACGGAACGTCTGCTCTACCAGCAGGCTGCCTCCGAATTTCGGATACCGTACTGGGATTGGGCTTCCCCTGCACCAGCTGGCCAAAGCCACTTTCCTGATGTATTTTGGAATTCCACAATGATTCAATACGGCCCCAATGGTGTTCAGGTAATTCGAAATCCATTGTATTCTTATTCATTTCATCCCCTTGACGAGGACGCATTCATCTGGCCACCGGTAAGTATGGGCGTATAGATGATGCTAAGAGCTTCCCATCTGCTGACTATTCGTAGTTGAAAAGCTGGAATGAGACGAAGAGAGCTCCAAACACACAAGTCAGTGAAACAGAGCCGCCGTCGATGAATGACCAGGTAAATTCCGCTTTGCTAGCAAAACTGCCTGAGATCCAGCAGAGGCTTTATATACTATTCTCGAGTTATCACGAATTCGATTCATTTAGCAACAAAAACTATGCCATATCTCAAAATCTTAGCCATCTGGACTCCATCGAGGCTATCCACGACATTATTCACATATACGGCGGATCTAGAGGTCATATGACCTACGTTCCTCTATCCTCTTTCGATCCTCTTTTCTTCTTACACCATACAATGACGGACAGGTTAATATCAATGTGGCAGCTCCTCAATCCTACGGCATGGATGACACCCCAAACCTCGGGAGAGACGACTTATACGGCGCTGAAAGGGACCATGCAAAACTCTAGCACCCCACTTACACCTTTCATGTCTTCAGCCAGCGGCACTTTCTGGGATTCAGACATGTCTCGAACGACTGAGGTGTTTGGTTATGCGTATGGAGATACATCAGCTCTGTATGGCGATACTAAGATCCCGCGAGACAAGCTGATTAGGAAGATTAATAACTGGCTTGGGAGAAACAGCCCAGCCATGATTCGGTTCAAGAGCCAATCGCAATGGAGGCCCAGCGGGATATGGAAAGGCAATTCAGAAACCAAAAGCTTTCAACCAAGTCTAAAGTTTGGTATGAAAGATGCTGTTGCGGCAGATGGCTATTACACCGAATGGATTGCAAATGTCCATGTGAATCACGGTGCTCTGGACGGATCATTCACTATTTATTTCTTTACTAGAGAGCCACCAGACGATGTTCTCACCTGGGGCTTGGCCTCAAATCTCATAGGATCAGTTAGCATCTTTATGATGAACGGAATGGGCAGCTCTCAGTCCAAGATGTCTGGAACAGCGCCGTTGACTATGGCACTGATGAAGCACGTCGACCAAAGAGCTATACAAAATCTTGAGCCGGAGTCGGTGGTGCCATTTCTACAACACACTCTACACTTTCGCGTTGTTGATATTGATAACAAAGAGGTTGACCCGGCCCTGGTGACTGGGCTCTACGTCGCAATCAGCAGCACCAGGGTTAGATTGCCTGAGAGCGAGTTTGAATTCCCGGAATGGGGCCAGCCAACACTGAGACTAGCAATATGGGAGTAGCTGGTGGACGTCAGTGAGCTTATCTATTGCTAAGTATTGTAAGTATACGGATATCGTGATGGGATCAAGGTGTGATTTGTTCTCTGGTAATGTCAATAGTAGTTTTGGAGGTCTATCGGCGACGCGGGTTTGCTTTGCCATGCTCATATCATCACCTACCGTACGTAATGTCTTTTCAACTCATTGAATTCACAATCATCTAGCAATAACATGTGATGTTTTTGTATTAGTATAGCCTTTCAAAGCATTCTAAAACCTCATCTCTCCTCCAGGAAGACTCCCGCATAGGACTCAAGATTTGCGCGTTTGCCACTTCATCTTCATCGAACCGAATTCAACCTGAGACTCATGGTGGCAAGGTCATCAGCCGGCCGGGGATATGCGGGGTGCTGATCGGGAGGATCCCGGCGAAAAGGAGCGGGTCATTCACACGGAGTACGCATGGCGAAGTGGAAACGATGATGCATTACAGTAGGCGTGGGATGAGCAATTGTTAGTCTGCCTTTGTAGAAGAAGAAGAAGAAGAAGAGAGAGAGATGTAGGTCTATACATTTGTACAGAGTACTTTATGTAAAAATGGAAGCCTAAAAGAATTTGGGTGGTGGTGACCGGAATGTGTTCGGCAGCTTAATTTTTTCTTCCGACGTCTTGAACGTGGGCGAGTCAGTTATCATGGGCTAGTGCGATGGAATGTTGTTTTTTACGTGGAAGGATGACGGATGAGGCAGAGATTTGCGCGGTGCTTGCGTGTGGGAAGGGGTCTTTTGAGTTTGTTTTGAGTCAGACATGAGTGGATTTTGAGATTTGAGACTTGTTTCTGTTATTTTTGACAATTTACTCGTGGCGAAGGGAGGGTGAAAAGGATGGTTGTGTTAGGTGATGGCAGGTTGGCATAAGTTGAAGATGGGTGTATAAGTCATACTGTATGTGTGTCATTGGCCCGAGGTGCTTTTACTGCTTTTTGACGTGCAGAATTTCACGCGTGGTTTTTTGAAAAGTGTGTGGGAGGCGCGTGTCGAACCATGTTAGGGGGCGTCATGCATGCATACAGACAGCCATTCCGGTTCGCGAGTGCGTTGCAGTATGCACGATGCACGAATGCAGGCGAGTAGCGAGTAGCGAGAGGCACTTTTGCGACTTGTTCTGCTATTACATACTAGGTGTTTTTTTACTCAATCGTATGAGCGAATACTTGGAGAAGGAGGAGATATGAGGGGTCGAGGACCAACGGAATTCTAGACTCTGGCTTTATTGATTTCGATTTCTCTGATTCGTGGGTGTATGAATTTTCGAGCTTTGAGGGGGGGGCTATGCAAAGCTGTGTCTGGGTGAGGCTGCCAAGCTGCCAAGCTGCTTGTCTCGCTAGCACTGCATTGCCTGTGCGTTGCATGTAAGAGTGCAGCCAACAGCAAGCAACATTGAAAACTACATGGGGGCGTATTACTCCGTATTCCGAATAGCAGTGCGAGAGGGGATGGTTCTGGGACGGGAGGGCGGATGAATTTAGGTCATGGACGTCCGTTAAAGTGCGCAAGGTCGGGTCACGATAATATAGACGGAGAGCTTTTTGGACAGTGATGAATGGACAAGACAATGGTAGAGTAGCAGTAGATGGCCAGGGCACTCTGCGGTATTTCGGAGCGTCAGTTGGTAAGAGAGAGAGAGAGAGAAAGAGAGAGAGAGAGAGAGAGAGAGAGAGACGTCCACGGACTCTCCGTATTATCGTCAGGCCATTGTCCTGGATTTAGAGGCCAGCATTGGGCAGGTACTGTTGGAGTGAAATGCTGCTGAGACAGATGTACGTAGACAGCCAGCAACACACCGACACTTTGCAAGCGACGGGGACATGGAGGGGATGCGACGCTATCCGGAACATGGCCGGTCTTGCTATGGATGAGGATGAGATGGTTTTGATTTTCGATATGCTGTACTATCTACTATACTACTACTAGTACTATGTGGAAGTGTGTAGTGACGAGACGCCATATAGGTACAGTATTACTAGAGGGAACCTGTCAAAACTCGCTGCTAGTGCTGTGCTTTGTTTTAGGCTTGCTTCTTGGCTCTTGCTGAGCGTTTCGGGGGGTCCGGGCCGCAGGATTACTATACGCTTTGTATAATAACGTCGCTGGCATTTATTACTCCGTAGTGCGTGATCAAAACGCACGCTCGGAGGCAGCTCCGTCGTCCGTGTATGGAGAGCTTTTTTGCTGTATAGACGACCCTAGCTGTAGCGACTAGGGTGCTGGAGTAATAATGTTCAGCCTAAGAAAGAAAGTGAGAGCTGGATGAAACGATGTGATCGGACCAGCGGTCCGGGATGCGGTGGCCACAAACTACATGTGACTAGTAGTAGTAGGTAGCACAAAAGGTGCCATCGCAAATAAAGCTGAAGCTGAGCTGAGTACATGGAGGTAGTAGTTAGTAATATCATACTATTGCTTGCATCTGGGTGCTGGGGCGTTGTATCACATATGCTGCTGTACAGAGCCGGGCCTCTTCCGAAAGGGGGGGCCGGGCCGAGCCCTGCTGCCTTTTTTTTTTTTTTTTTTTTTTTTTTTTTTTTTTNTTTTTTTTTTTTTTTTTTTTTTTTTTTTTTTTGGCGTTGCACGGCAGGATTTTTTCAGGTTGTGGCCGGGACGAATCGATCAGAAATCGATCGAATCCGTCCGTTGGGCGCTGCGTTACGAGAAGAAACGAGTTGATCTGTGCTACCGTTGTTGAAAGCGTACATCCCCATTTGAGCTTCGGCGTGTTATACCTTGATGGTTTAGTGTGGTGACTCCTCTCCCCGCAGACTTACCAATAGAGAAATAAAGAAATACGTAAAGGATGAATTACTAGATACCGTATACTGTATGGCCGCATCCCAGGGGCTCCTTCAACTGCATCCATCGCGTGTCGGCGTGCCATGGCGGCAACCCTCCCCTCTCCACGTTGTCTATTTCATCTTCCTTCTTTTAATTCCCTACGCAATGTAACATGATGCAACCGGCGCCGATGACACGCGGTCGGCGGGCACTCCATACATGGGCTGCCCACTGTAAAAGTGGCAGTAATATACTGTAGTATAAGCATTTCCAGAGTGGATTCGGAGCGCGCTGATCCCTTTTCCCTTAGCATCAGGGCCCGGGCTCGATCTTAATTTTCTTTTCCACCAAGCAGCTGCTCCATCGTCTGCGCCTGAACCATTCCGCCCTCCGTAGCGCCGTCCGCGTCTCCAGCTAGCTCTTTCGCCTATTCCCTTTTCCTCCCTTGCCTCCTTGTTTAGCGGGATTGGAAAACTCCCATTATGAATTTTGCTTGTACTATCTGATGCTACGGATGCTTCTGTACGGGGTCCGTCCCCATTTTACAGGGACCAGGGCAGAGGGCGGCCGATTTGGTGAAACTTTTGTGCCGAGGTCCCGCCCTCTCGTGAATGGAAAAAAAAGAAGAAGAGAGAGAGAGAGAGAGAGGTGCCCACATACACACGTATTCGTTGTGGTGGATTTTTTAGGTGCTGACGTCGAAACATGGCTTTTTTTTTTTTTTTTGCCGTTCGGCACTGACGTGGGAAAAGCAGTAGCACTTACAAGTAGTAGCATTAGTCAAGGAGAAGAAAAGAAGCGGAGCTTGAATGGAAGCAGCATCGAACACACACAGAAGCTGGGCAAGAGAAAATGCTCAGGGGCATGGCAAAAGAGGCCAGCGGTGGATGCCTGGCGGACCCGGACGGGAAGATATGGATGGGGGCCCAGTGGAAAGTCCACGGAACCCATTAGTTGTTTCATGTCTTGCTGTGTCTCTCGTTGCTCGTTGCTCGTTGTCTTGCTCGCTCGCTTGTTTTCTGGCTAGCAGTTTGTAGTTCCGGATCTTCCATCCGCTATTGCTTGGTAATCCATCATGATAAGCAACTGCTACGTGTACTAATGCATTTTGTTGGAGTACAGTACCAGCTGGTCGAGAGATGCAGGAGCACGGAGTTGATGGCCCTTTGAATGCCCGACCATTTTCGATTACTACTACTACTTGCTTGTGCCTTTGCGTGGGGGGGAGGTGTTTTTGTCTCCTTGTTTCCAGTTCCCCTTTTGTACTGTACTACATACATACTTGCCTTGTTGGTAACTGCTTGCATTTTGCGGAACATGACAAGTGAGGCAGCAGTATGCAATCAAAAAGTCTTATTAAGCTTGTCCTAGCATTGCAATCCAATAGCAACACACTGACTGTAATAAGCTACAACACACAGCCTCGTCTATCCGCCGCCGAATTGGTCATATGCCCAGCCAGCAACGCCGAACCCCTGTTCCTTGCCCAGGTGGAAAAGAGCACGCTACATGCTAATAGTTCTAGTACCTGAGACCGGTGATTGGCTTTATCTTGGTGGCTGCAGCTGGTGCCACAGCCACGAGTGAGTCCTCTCTGGCCTCTCTCTCCCTTTGGGACTTGTCAGTTCACGCTAAACAGCTACGCAATAACCGCAGATACATACATAGTATATACAAGTGCAACATGCATGAAATAGAGGGTTATTTGGCGATGTTTGATTTAGGCACACGTACTGCATCCCCATATACTGTACAAAACGGCCTGCCTGGTTGAATTTAATTAATAGCGCCTCACTTGCCCTTCAGCCCCGATGGACACCCTCTCGGCCATGCCATGCGGCTACCCATTGATTCGCTTCGTTTCTGCTTTTAGCCCATGGCTCTCTTGTCCCCGTTCAGTTTAGCAGCAGCTACTTTCACGAACCCATGCCCACCTGATTGCAGTGCTACTGTGCCGTACTTTGTTGGCTCGAGTTTGTCCTCTTTTGTCTCTCAACTTGGCCTTTGGACACGGCCCAGCTAGAGCAGCGCTAAACAAAGGCGCCGTTACTAGCGGGTCCTTTTCTCTTCTAATTTTTCCTCTTGGCCTATACTTGTATTCCTTTTTTTAAACGCACGGCATGTGGTGTGGCGGCGTCCCTCTTGTCAAGGGTGTCCTGTCTGTTGGCTTTTTCTGAGCTTTCTTGGCTTTTGAAGGGGGCCCTCTATACCAGAGCCGGACCCTGACAATTGCTCGAGCAGGTTAGTCAACGGGATACGGGAAATAAACAGCGTCCGTGAGCGAAGGGCTGGTTGTGCTTTCTTGGCATTCTGTTCCTTTGTCTTTTTTTTCTTTTTTTAAATTGTTTTTGCTCGGCTACTGTACAGAGAACAAGAGGCATATAGAGCAAGTAAAACGTAAGCGGTGATGTTGGATCCGGATACTCCACGGCGGCTGCCGCGTTTCCAAGGTGCGTAAGTCAGATCTGGAGAACCAGAGAAGATTACTAGGTAGTACTACCTGTTTATCAGTTGGCACGGGTCAGCAATGGGCACGTCCGTCACTTTGTTAATTCTACTGCCTTACACAACCCTACAATACTCGTATGTACCGCAGCAGCTATGAGGTATTAGTAGTAGTAGTAGTAGTAGTGCTACTGCTCAGGTTCGGCATCAAGGTCGTATTTGCTCAAAGTAACTCTGCAATATGTTCGAGAGAGCCTGCATTTCCACGTGCTGACTTGCACACTCGTATGTACTTGTTCCAGGCCGGCCCTTCCTGCAAGTCAAACGGGCGTCCTGCGCCTATGCGGGTACAACGCACTACTTTGAGATACACATGGTTTTTATATTTGTATGCTCAGTTGCTCTACTGTAGATGTGAAGAGAGAGCTGGGAGGTCGTCTCCACTAGTGGATATAGAACGTACAGTATGCAGTATATACAATTACTATTCTAGCAACATAGTTCATAAGCAAGTTCCACGCTCGACGGATAGCATCAAATCTGCGGATCAGCACGCTCTCTTCTCCGCAGCCGTGTCATCTTCATGCGGCCGCTAACATGCAAACACACACACCAAAGCACACGTTTTGCCTCATGCATGTAATGTCATGCCATCGGCGGATGTAACTCGCGGTACCCGAGCTGTACCCCTTAGAGGCAGGTACCAAAATTGTCTTTCCCAGGACCCCTGTCGTGCCTATTACAGGGCATACGCATCGCCGGTCCCTTGGAAACGGGACCCCCCCGTCACTCACTCAGCAGCCCATGGATGGCATCCTTCTTGTCATTTTGGCCTCTCTCCCTAGCTTCCAGCTCTGAGACTTTGTCTCTCGGTGTTTCCCTGCCTCGCCTCTCGCACCGCGGCGTCATGCCTTGTCATGCCTTGCCGTGTTGTCTCAGTTCCAAAGCTTGTCACAGCCACCCAGAGCGTGTAAGTCATGCATATGTAGCAGTAGTACTAGGTACCATGAGCTCGCTCGCATGTCCACATGGCAGCATCATATTACAATAGTAGTGCCCATATCCACACCCTTCCTCATGCCAATGTCCATAGCATAACCCGTAGCGCAACCCAGGCTTCGATCGTCAAGCCATGCCAACTTTACTTTTCCCGATGGGGCTCTCGCACTCCTCTAGCATTCCGGCAGCCTGTCTCTCTTCCTTCTCCCTCCTCCACCCTCTTCTTTTCTTCGTCCTTGACACGCTCTTTTGTCAGCACCGGTTCGTTATCCCTCCTGCTATCATACACTCCCTTCCCTCTCTCTCTTTTATTCTTTTTTAAGCTTCCAAGCCGAGATCCAAGACGATCGTCCCCTCCCCCCCTCTCCACCTACCAATTGAATTCCAAGCCCAGTGCGGAGATCCTGCATGTCGCATGCTGCGGTATACATGCGAGCTTGATGCAAGGCTGCTTGCGTTCTGGAACACACGTAGAACCGAGCTGACCTCTTTGCTCCCTCCTGCTGAGGGAAAAAACTGGGGGAGGGAGGGCCGTTTTTCCCGTTCAGCTCAGTTGATTGGGTTTGTGTGCGTCCCAAGCCTGTGGGCGTCTTGTCTCTTTTCGGGAGCCGGGATCCCCCCTTCACGCTCACGCCGCATGCAGCTGGAGATTTACAAGACAGTACTTTTGTCCTTCTTCTCTCTTCTCTCAGTGCTACGCTTTATTGGATGCTTGCATTCACACTACCTCGGCCGTTGCTTGGGTTTTTGTCTCTCGCAGTTTCAACTCTCTCATTGACTTTTTCACCACCACGTTTTCTTTCCCAATCATTTATACTTGCCTATATCCATTCTTAATCCACCTCAGCTGCACCCTGTTGCAATCTCGCTCCCTTTGCTTCCACGAAGCTAACAACCCCCTTAGCCTCGCTCTCAGCTTCATCCTCATAGCTGAATACTCCCACATCCATCGTCACCAGCTTTCACATGTACCGCTACTTGCCCGAATCCATCAACACGCCACGTGCAATTCGCTCCGCAGACTAATCACTGCGCTGAACTTGCTCCATCCAAAGGCCCAAAACTAAACAAGCAAGCTAAAAAGACCGAGCACTCGGACATCAAAAGCCCTATTGCCGCGGCGAGATCGAGTCCGGCGGCGACAGCCTCCACTTGGCTCCCGAGGCCTCTTTTGGCACTAGTTTTTTGCTTAATGAGACAAGTAGAAGCTTGGCTTGGGTACCCAGCGGAATTGCTACAAGTACAACTCCGTGTGTGAATCTTTCACAAGTCCTTCCATTACCCACCCCCCCCCCTTCCCGCTCATTCTCATCCGACTCACACACCACTCATTCGTTCTATGCCTTCAAGAGACAAAGCTCTCGTTTATCTTTCTCGCTCTCTTTTCTTTCATTCCTTGCTATAGGCTTCAGACCTTTTTTTTTTTTTCTTTCCTAGTCCATCTTCAGTCTACAACCACCATCAACGCTGTTGTACAACTCTTGCAACTACTCAATTGCCCTTCACTTCTCGACTATCCCCTTGTTAAATAGCCGGTCTCAACTTCACCCACGCCTGCAAGCCAGGTAATCCTAAACTCACCTTACTCTCCATCCTTGCTTCTGATGTAACCCAATTTCAACCCATCACCACTAAAAAAAAAAAACATCACCATGTCGTATAATACCACCACCACTCCGCAAACTCCTCCTCTACGGCCTATCCACTTTCCCGACGCCAAATCAAAACCCCAGCTTCGCATTGTTGATACCTCTATCAACCCGGATGAGGCTCATTGCCTTGACGAAGACGACATCGACAACCAGCCATGCTCACCACCCCAGTCACCGGTATCATCGTCCCCTTGGGAAGACGCCTCCGCCGCCTCAACATCCGCCAGCATTCCGTCCACCCCCACAACTCAAGTCAGCATTCACGAACCTCTACTCTCCCAACATGCCTCCAGCAAATCTCAAACTGTATTATCCGAACCCATCACCAAAGAGATCAAGATCCCTTCTGAATCTTTCGGCGGCCCCATCACTCCCTTACCGCCGCAATGGAACCTCCGTGGAGACATTTACACCTTTTCCTTCTGGACCTCGCCGAAAGCTGCCCGCTCTCTTCCCGAACACGCTTACTCTCCCCTCGAGGGAGTCACCTCTTTCGCCGATGAAGCCTACAGCCGTCCTGCTGGCGGGCTGAGCATGATCCAGATCCTGAGCTACAGGGATTCGCCTATAGGCCCTTACGACGAGATGTTGGTTGCGCCGGGTAGTTTTGACTGGGAGAGGACCGAAGCAGATGGCAAGAAGACGAGGGGATGCAACCCAAAGATTACGAGGATATACGTGTCAACGCCAAACAGCTGCTTCAATGGGAGGACGAGTAAGTTTTAACTCTTGATTTTTTTCTCATGATCAATACAGGGAAACCCTGGTTCTTGCTCGGTTATCATGAGACCATCTCCTTTCTCATACATCATATCATGTTACAAGACAAGTCAAAAAAAAAAAACTAACATGCCCTTCTCTTCTCCAGACTGGAACGTCCCCAAACATCTCGCCAAATTCGTCTGGGACCACCACGCCGACGGCACCACCACCATCAAAATCTACCCCCACGACGACCCGTCCAACCCAGACGAGTCCCAGCCCAGCTCCAGGCCGCTATTCCAAACGACCTTCAAGCCAATGTCCCTCGTCCCGCGCTTCCCCTTCGCCACCAGCTGGGCCGACCGCCTCGGCTTCAACACCACGCTCGTCATGCCCCCCCTGCCCGCGGGCAACGGCACCTACGGCGAGCTCCCCAGCACCAACCGCTGGATCAAGCTCGAGACGAAGCAGTACTGCAGCCGCAGCACCGCGGGCTGGTACGACATTGCGCAGCCGGACGGCGGCGCCGGCTGTGGCGGGATTGAGAATTTCCTGCCGTGGCTGGGGAGGTGGCAGGTTGGCGTCAAGATGGAGGATGCCTTCCTGTCGTTTGATGTCCCCCAGGAGGCGTGGGAGAAGGGGGATAAGCTGGATGACGCGACGACAACATCTGACGACAAGAACGAAGACGATGACGGAAAAGAAGAAGAATTACGCAATAAGCCGGAGGCAGGGAAATGGAATACCTCCTTCTTGCACGACTACTTTACATAAAAAACTTGCTCTCTATTCGACGCATCATCAAGCACGTAAATCTCTCTCTCTCTCTCTCTCTCTCATCACAGATCCATCCACATTCAAGGCAAAGAGGTCATCAGGGATAAAAAGGAGGTGGTATTCATTCAAACAGAGACACACAAAGGACGGAAAGGGGTGGGGGAACAAACTCGGTGTCTCTTGTTTTTTTTTTTTTTTTTTCATCATCAAAAAACATAACATGCACGACGGCGTTTTTTCAATATGGGGGGGTTGGGGGAGGGAAGGGGAGGATGTATATATATCGAGCAAAACGGGTTTTCACGGTCGTTTAACGGATCATACACTTTACACTCACACATACTGACATACATGCAACCACGCTTCTCTCTTTTTTTCCTTTGTCATTCCTTTTTTTTTTCTCTCTCCCTTCTGCTTCTGTCGTTACTTGCATGTTATTACTATACACACACGTACCCACGCATACACTCAAAACACCATCTCGTTACAAATTACAGCTAACAAGTACATTACATTACCAGCACAGCACAGCACAGCACAGTACATTAATTCCAGTCCTTTCTTTTTTTCTTTTCTTTTTTTCTTTTTTGGCCCCCTTACAACAGCGATGAGTTGATTGATTGATTGCTTGATCATGGCTTCTCTTTTCCCTCTTAATACTATATATATATACACACTGTACATCGATAGATAGAGCCTTCGTTATACACAGACCATGGGTGCGTTCATGTTATATATCCATACAGTTCTCAGATTGCAAAATCTCCATAGTCTATATCAAAGTATAAGAAAAAAAAAACTGAATATTCACAAGACGGAATTTCGTAATCAGAACGTAGGTAGCACAGCATATTGTGCCATCGTAAAAGGTCTGTTTGGAATATGTAAATATCATTGTCGTCGGGTGCGTTCATGCAATGTACCCGTTGGTTGGTATGACTTTCAGTAACCAGCTTTTTGCCTCAAAGTTGGTTACTGAAAGTTTGAAGGTCATACCAATGGGTATACATACAGTTCTCAGATCACAAAACCTACCTCTAGAAAACATTGATCAGAGAAAAAACAAACAGATTGTTCAAGAGACAATACTTCGTGATCAGAGCATAGTATATCATATTGTGCTATCATAAAAAATCTATCTAGCATGTTTAAATCTTCTTGTCGTCGCAACCTCCGTCACAACCCCCCCCCCATTTAAATTCTTTCAAACGAATAACAAGAGAAGAGAGAAAAACACAAAAAAAAAAAAAAAAAAACCAAGACCAAGGCCCATCAAACCCCGCCTGCGCCATTGCAATGAATTCGCCAATCCCATCAGAGCTCTCATAAAGAACCGTCCTCTCCTTGCTGTCCCTGCCTTGCGCAGTTGTGCCATCCCCCTGGTCTAGCCAACATCGTTTGCCAACATATGTGCGCACACTTACACATACACGGCTCCCGCTCTTCCTCTCTTACAATCAGAAACCACCTAGAGTCTTGCCGCACGATCCAAGACCCAACCTGACATGCCCATTTACCTCCTCTTTCAACTCGCTGATGCGTAGTCCAAAATTTGCAAGTTTCAAATCGTATAAAAGGTGACCTCATACCCATTAGCTCGCTTTTGACAGCCTTCCCGTCGCTCCTAATGTGGTGTACGTAAGATCCGCCAGGGATCGCGAGGCAATTTCGTCTTCTCTGTCTCAATCGGCCACGGCCAATCTTTGATAAGAGCTTATTTCCAACAAGTGTTTTGCAAGATATCGCTGTCGTGATCGAGGCTTCGAGATGGGAGCACCGCTGCACCAACCAAGATCCAAAACACGGCTTGCTCATGTTACCGAGGTCGCCGCAAAGAATATATCGACTGTTGCGATGCTCTCTCCCACTTTTGTTCTGTTTAAATTCGCGGATTTTGCCGTGCCTCGCGACTACGTGTGGCGGCTCCGAGGAGCCACGACTTCTCGGGCGTAAAATTCAACAAGCATCGTGGCGTATGCCTCCAGCTCTTCCACTGGAATAGCAAGTCGGAAGTCGTTGAGCACCAAGAATTGGAGTTCCAAGTGGTTCAACTCCGGCAGGGGGAGTCCACCAACCTATCGACAATTAATATCAAAGCCAAGGAGAAGAAGAACCAAGGTCTCGCTTACCTTTGCATATCGCGAGTTTGTATAAAAGACATCAGAGAAGAATTTGCTGGAGCAAGTTACCCCGGCGATGATTAGTCGGTGGATATTGAAGCTGTCAACCACGAAATATGCCGCCGAGGCCGGCAGGCCAAGGGAGCGCTCAGCAGCGGGTGTCGCGCCTCTGCCTGCTGAGCGAGCGTATCTAGATGATGGGTCAGCCATGACCTCATCGTCGTCGCTTTCGTCGTCATCGTCGGCAAGATCTTCATCGCTCTCGTCAGGGCTCCTCGAGGCATCGCCCATCGGGGTATCGTGGGATGCGACTGATAACGGCCCTCGCGGTCGCGATGCTGATGACCGTCTGCTGCCCTCGGTCCGAGACACCATGTCGTTGACCTTCTCTGTCATGCGGTCAAAGTAGACTAACAGACTCAAGAAGACTTCGTACGTAGTCGGGCAGTACTTGTCGATGCGCGAGAGGTAGCTCAAGATTGTGATGGCGGGAACGTTTTTACCGTGGAACGCAAGCACGGAGTGGCTAAGCGGACTCATCTGGGAACCGCCGTGGGCGTCTGCGTTCAGGTTGGCCTGCTGCTGGTGGGCAACATTGCGCTGCATGGCATCGTGCTGCAGATCGTTTGTGGTTGTGATCTTGGTCAACAGAGCGGCGACCATTTCGATGACATCGGCAATAGGCATTGCGCTGATCTCATACTTGGTCTGATGCAACGGCGGATCGTGCAGGATGCCGGACTGGTCCGCATCGCCGGCCAGGTCAGCTTCCGCAAGCTTTTCTATGTGAGCGAGATCCCGGATGTGGATCACATTCTGCTCGGGAATGGACGAAGCGGACGTGGACGAAACCAGGTACGAGTCGGAGCCGGCGGCCTGTTCAGATTTCAGGGGATAATCATCCGATGTGGGCGAGGGCTGTTGGTTCTGAGGCGCTGGCGGGTGCTGCAGGCCGGCTGCGGAGACGCTGTCTCCAGTCTGAGATGCCATAGACGCTCGATTCTCATCGTCGGCGGCAACAGGGCCGGGAACAGCTGCTGGGGACGAGGACGGCGGCGGCGAGGGGAAGCGCGACGCTCCGCCAGAGGACGCCGAGCGCGAAGCCGACTGCGCTGCCAGCGCCTGGCCCTGCTGCGCCGACTGGACGGCGGTGCTTCTGTTGACGCTGGCCTGGGTATCCGGTGCCGACGCCGAAGTCGACGCTGATGGTGCTGATGTCTGAGACCGCGGCACGGAGCCAGACAACCGGTGCCGGCTGGACGAGCGGTAGGGGGCGGCGGGATCGTGGGTCTGGCTTTCCTGGCGCTGCGGGATGGCGGATGTCGAGGAGCCGGAGATCATGCTGTGGAAGCGCGAGAGGTCAGGAACAAAGTCGCCGATTACGGCTGCCATTGCATCGTATGCGGGAACGGGGACGCGCGCGCTGGGTTAGAAGCTGTGGATTTGGAAACGGAGATGCAGATGGCGATGCAGCCTCTGTCTGGGAGGATGCGGCTGCGACGGGTCCGGCAGGGAAGGAAAGGCAGGGAAGAAAGAAAAAGAAGTATTAAAACAGGTGACCGGCAACTAAAGGCGCAGGATAAATCATTAAAAATTAGCACAAAGGAAAACAGAGACGTGGGCAGTCGTTAACGAAGGATGCAAACAAGTACAGCTGCGACAAGCGCAGTTGGGCTGGGGAGAAAGGAAGAAGAGGAAGAAGAGGAAAAAAAAATGGAAGAGGCAAGTTTGGGTTCGGGGCCGCATGGGGAGAAGTCGGAAAGAGTAGGTTGGCGGTTTAGGGGAGCTGTGCGGCGAGCGAACCACTGGGCCGTAGTGAAGGCGTGCGCTGCAGGGGAAACGCTTTAGGGGTGGCCACAGTGGGTGGCAGCGGCAGTGGGGGTTCCGGTGTTGGTGGACGGCAACAGCCTGCTCGCAGTGAGGGGGAGAGAACCTGTCGAACGATTCGAGCACATGCAAAACCCGTCGACTTCAACGACAATATTGCGGGAGAAAGATGTCGCTTGGCATCTTTACGTGGGAGGGAGGAACTTTGTTTGCCGGGAAATGAGAAGATCAAAAAAGAGTATCATTCTTTCTTTCTCTCTTTTTTAACCCTCTTGCTGATGTCTCCTTATTCTCTCCTTGATTTTCTTATAATGCCCTTGATTCAAAACATCTCACACCACAGCCATGCAGGGACGCGAGAGCAAAGAGGAGAGCCCCGACACCGCTCTCTCGCTCTCTATTCCAGTATCTTCCAACGCTTCTGCGTCGTCCCAAGCCGTGCTACATCTGGCGCTGGTGATTTGACATGAATCAAGCCCCCTCAGCCCCTCAGCGCCAGCCGCTCCATCTCTCCATTGAACCCTCAAGGAGATCCCCGGTGGCACTCGACCGGGCCACTGTGGCGCCGCCGCTGAACGTCACCCACGCTGTGGGTGGCGAAGGGGAGCACACTGAGGGGTCCTTGGGTCCATACATAAGAGAGTTTGAGCCTCTCATGGCAGCGGTGCTAGGCGGAGATAGGCAGGTATTGGCAGTGGCATATGTAGGGAGCTTCTAAGCATGTGGTGCCTGGAGCTTCGGGACAAAACCCTGCAGAGAAGGCATCGATGGTTCGTGAAAGCGGGGACCTGCAATGCGCGACAAGAGGAGGGGCAGAAGCAAGACATGGAGAGAAGGGGAAAAAAGAGGGAGGGGAAAGAGACAAAATGAAAATTGTTCCAGACTCACAGCCAAACGGACGGCAAGGAGAAGAGGAGGCTCACTCAAATACTGTGATGTGATATGACTAGACGATAGGATGGTATAAATTCGCGTGTGCCCATGTGTATGGAGGAGGGGTTGGGCTCCGACACGGCCAGTGACGATTTTATCAGAGGCTGGAGCTGGATCAAGACGCCAGCAAAGATGGGGTTGTTTGCCACGGGCAGCAAGGCCCAATCCGCCTCACGATCGGATCGATCTCGCAAAGGCGCGCAGGATAATAATAAACGGCCAGGGTCGTCTTCTCGGAACGCAGTACAGCGTAGGGGGAGGGAAGCCCACGAGGCAAGGCAGACCAGCTACAGAAGCAGAGAAACCACCACCGCAGCCAGGCAGGGCTACCGCCAACTAGCAGCGTGTATGTGCGTGTGTCCAAGAATGTCCAGCGGGTGTTTGGGGTCGTTTGGGTAGGTCAGAAGCTAGCCATGTATAGACAGAAGCCGCTATTAAGCTTTTGCTTCGATATAGTGTAGAGAAGATGCCGTTTGGGCCACGGCAAAAAAGAGGGGGGAATGGGAGAGAGGAAGATGGGAGAGGGGGATGGAATGCACCAATGTGTGTGCAGCTGTATATGTACCTCTATCTGGATGTAAGTCGCCGTGCGTAATCTGCGTGCGACGAGCGGATTGGCGGTGGAGATGCAGACGCAATGCAGCTATTAAAGCAGAGAGCAAAGGAGCATGAGAGTATGTATAGAACAAGAGCCAGAGCAGAGCAGAGCCAGTCTTGGTGGCGGTGCAAAACTCAAAAGCAACCGCAACGTTTCTCTTCTTCCTCTTGGTCCTCTTCTTGGCGATGGAGAAACAAAGCGGGATGCGGCTGATAACAGGAATGACGATGAAGTATTAGAAAAAGATAAAATAAAAAATAAAAACAGGTTGCTGCGAGCGAAATGGAAACGGGGCCACCCGCGATCAGGGCACAAGCAGGAGGGTGTGTCCACTGCTCGGGCACTATAAGCAGGTGCTCTGGTAAACTGCTGGGCCGGGTTGATATTGGTAACTGAGTGTATCTGACGTCTAATCCATGTCCTGCTTCTATAGGTTGCTTTTTCTCTCACAGTTCAGCTCAAGCTCAGCTCAGCCCAGCCCAGCTCGCTTACTCCCTTCGTCTCGAAACACCATCCCGTCATAAACCATTACGAGCATAACTTGACTAACAGGGAGATGCCTGCATCCAGCAACAGCGGTAAGATCGAAAACAAATAGGTGCGTACAAAGAACAAAAAGGCAGAAACCACCCTCTGTCCAACCCTCGTCCAACGTGCCCAAGCTCCGATGCTGTACAAGCCAGTGGACTGCCAACCCGCCCACCCATCCTCCCCAATTTTAGCATCTCACAGCTTCGCTTCTCAGCCAAGACATGTCGCACGTGGGCTGCTCAGAGCCCAGACTTGCAAGGGTAGCTGTGGCTGTCCTTGCTTCTGCCTTAATAAGCAGCTGTGATGCTTGTGATTGGCGGCTAGCACGATGCAAGCAGAAAATTAGCGGCGGCGACTTCCTTTTAGCAGCAACGAACATTTAAATCGTAGCTCATGGGCTGTTAATGTGCTGCGCAGCTTCAAATCTCCAGTTGCAGTACCACTCCAGAACCGCCACTAGCACTACAGACCACCATATCGATTGAGCTTCGACGAGTACCAAAAATCACATACAAGAGGCGATGTCTCGTTTCCAAGTCGTACATACATACAACGACCCCCTATTTCTTCTTTCTCTCCTTGATGTCATCGTGTCTGTGCCCATCAACCACCCACCACTAACAGATCTTTTACCTCTTTGCCCCATCGCTCAATACGTCAGCTCCCCTGTAGTGGCGGGGACACGGACAGGATCAGAGTCGCTCCCAGGCTTGGCTCCGGCGTCACCAAAATGCTTATTTTCGCCGATCAGCTGGCCCCTCAGTGACTTGCAACAAACCATCAAGATACCGGTGTGTTCATTACTAGAATTAATAGCCATATTATACCGTGCATCGCCAGTAGGAGGGGGGCGCAAGTCTGCAGATCAGCGCCTCTTGCACTCGCTAGGAGCTTGACATGCATACCCTATCATCATGGTATCAATGGTGCATCCATCCATTATTCATATCTGCATTTGAGCCGCAGTTACACATCATTCATCGAGATCATTTGCCTTGTCCAGACTCGTGCACCACCAGCCCTTTCCCCCGCGATACCAAAGATGGAGATTGTTCGTATGACCTGTGGTTGTAGATATCATTTGCCGCAACTCCTAGTGCCTACCCTACGTCACATGCCGAAATAGGCACGCATGAACACGACAACACAAGGTCAGTAAAATGCTTCGGTAAAATACTTTTCGTATCAAATTAGCCTTACTGCCTCGTCTAACTCAGTAGACGCCAGTCGTATTTGCCAGATGCCTCTTCAGCCAATCACCCAATGTATAGAGGAGAACAGAGGGGAAGAGAGAGATGCATATTCTCTTTGCCTCATGTCTACATGTCCACATATACCTACCTATCGGGTAGTGAGATCCAGAGTACTTCAACCGCATTACTTTAGATATATTGCACAGATTCCTTACAAAGAGTTACCGATATCGTCATAACTCGTCCCATTTTCCGTTTTCGACTTGTTATATTTCTCCTCGGCTTCTTTCGGGCCGCCTCTATCCCCGTCAACCTTATTTGCAGGACCACACTCTTGTGTATAAACCAAGTAGTGCATGTGGCCATCACAAAGAACAGGGCTCAACTCGATCATTTTTCTCTCCTCTTCTTTTCCTTTCCAAGCTTCATAAACCATTCCATACTATTACTGGATTGTTCTCTAGATCATAGCCTTCCCTCGCATCACGCCATCGTCTCTTGGGTCGATACCTAGTATCTAGCTCACAGTCACTGGCATCTCATTGTCTCTAACAAGTATGGATCTAGCCGATCTGTCTATTGTCGACTTCCACCTCAGCTGTAAAGCAAATGCTCATGGACTGTACACACGACCATGCTTGTTCTGCCATCATCCATCCATCTAGTCATGTCGCACCTTGTAGTCTGAATCCGGTAGGTACAGGTGTCGGTCGGCTCCCTTCTTCGTCAATACAACCATACGAATAACACCACCAGAGCTTCCATCCCACTTGATAGCTTCTCTTAGAGCGCCCTTGACAAAGGCGACTGCTTCTGCTTCTTCCATGCCCTCCTTCCAATTGGCGTCACAGTATCCGTAAATGTATGTCGATCCTGAACCGCCGATTGCATATGCCTGTTTGTGCAATGAACCTCCTAGGGGAATAGAGTAAACCTGGCCGCCGAATCGCTCGTCCCAGCCTGCAATAATCAGACCAGCTCTATGTTAAGTCAGCAACCATTCATTCATTGCATAGCTCATGTGGGAGCAAAGTGTACTCACGATAATCTGTCTTTGTTGGCGTAGCAAATCTCCTGGAAGATGGAGGCTGCAGTCTGTGTCATCGGGGGCTTTCCGCTCTGCATGGCAAAGAGGCCCAGCTGGTATTGTACAATGTCGGCAACGGCTTGCGTGTCGGCAGCAGAACCAGATCGGCAGCACCAGATGGTATCGTGTACCCGGGTCAGCTTGTCTGTTACTCGATTGGCGATGTAAGCGCCGGTGGTCGTTCTCGAATCGGCTCCTGCAGGCCCAGTAGTTAGCATCTATGCCTCAATGTGCGCCTCTTCCGATGCTGCCATACCCAGAATAACTCCATCCTTGAATGTCACAGCCATGCTATCATCTCGTTAGTTCGCTATTCGATTTGGCGGGGCGGAGGAGCATACATAGAAGTACCCAAGCTAGCAATCAGTCAGTAAAACAGACTCCACGCATAACATCTGACGACATATCAACTCACTTGACTTCTCCCTTCTTCAACCGATCCATATCGACATGAATGCCATCTGTTTGTCCATCAAGTCAACGAGGGGTCATCAACAGAATGCCGGGCGGCAGCCCGCAAGTCATACCTTCATTCAGCACGCCAGCATGGCCAAACTCCATTGTGATATGAGAATTGCAATGTGAAATCGTAAAATTCTTGGTATATTCGAGGATATCGCGGGGATGGCAGGTCGTCGTGTGCTGTTTGGGCGGTTGCGTAGTTGCGCTGATGTCTGGAAGGCTGGAGCTCACTATCCGCACTACCGCCACATCAAAGCTCAGGCAGCTCTGAGAACGCGCAGCCGCGCCGTCGCCCCACATATTGCGCTTACACATGATGTAGCACGTGATGTTGAATTGATCAGCGCTCTTGTCCGAACGAGCACGGCATTCGAGGATAAATACAGAGCTGAATTAAATAGATATATAGCTGTGCGGAAATAAGATATATTCGAGTTCTCTGAGAGCTTATTCGTTGATTAAAACCCCAACTGCAGCTGAAACGCCATGTGAGCGTTGGAGAGCAGAGAGCAGGATTGTAGTCCAAGAACGAGCTGTTGGACCTGTCCAAAAGTGCTATATCGACAGAGAAACGACATGTTCCCTGCTGCTTTTGCAACAGATTATTAGAGCTCGCTGAGGACAATTCGCTATTCTATCTCTAGTCTTCATTATTACCATTAAACCAAGTCTATTCCTTTGTCAACTCCGCATCAACCTTTGACCCTTCTTTCTTCTTCTTATCTTCATCTCCACAGCCACAGTCATAAAAGTCACCAATGTTGTTGCAGTCAAAGATGGGCTTCTTCAGCCTCTCATTGACCAGGTTGTGTACGTAACACAGCCATCCAGCGGCCGCGTTGCGACTGCTCGTCTGGGGAGGGTATTTCTCTAGGATCCCCCGGAAGTGCTTTGCGCAATCACCACAAGGATAGAGACGGCTGAAGAGGTAGACAAACGTCTCGAGAGTCTTGCGCTCCTCGTCTGTAGGCTTTTCTGGGAATCGAGCGACCATTGTATGCATGAATTTCCATGTTGCGCGGCCCAGTTCGGCCCTATAACGATATGCCAAACAGGACGTTAGACCAGCTGCTTACCAAACAAGACAACAGCATCATGGACAAAAGGGAGAGGGAGAGAGACATACTTGAGCGTTGCATTCTCCAGCTTGGGTGCTATTGACTCCCCTTCAAGCAGACTAGCCGGCACATCGCCCAGGTCCACTTTGAACTGCGACCTGGATTCTGCCGGAGACTCGCCCATCGGCGCCGGGATTCGATCCACACCGTGGCTGGACGAGCCCGAGAAGAAGTACGTGATGCTGAAGAACAGGCACACGCCCAGCAAAATGGACAATGTGAGGTGCTGACGGCGCGCCATTGTTGGAATATCTGGAGCGCAGCCTCTCTCTCTCCCTCGTGCTATCGGACAGGCTGCCGCTTCATATAGGAGAAGAAGGGAAAAAGAAGCCACGGTTTAGGGGATTTGTCGCATGATGGGCTCGAGCCACAGCCGCGCTGCGCAACGCCACAAGGGAGATGATGGGCCCACGTTTCGCGGAGAGGTGGGGTCAGAAGTTTGAGTGCTTGATCTGGCGCGCCACGGGCTTTAGATGCCGGGCGATGCCCGAGATCCGATCCGTGCGGTTCAAGCTGGAGATTTTTTGCCCGCCATCATTGAGCTGTGATTAATATGCATGTGAGCAGATTGGCGACCAGATCCCAAGCGGCCAATTCCTTTGGTGTTGCATTCGTATGGATGCCATAGGTGTCGTCTGATGATTGCGGCTTGCTTGCCATGGAGAATTGACGGCGGAGGATTTGCGTTTAGCGCCCATTTAGCCGAGCTACCCTGTACCCAAATAGGTCAGTAGAGAGGGATTTAACATTCTACCCGTCTACTCTATACCGAAAGTATGATAGCAATGTTCCCTTGCACACCGTGTTTTCAATGCGTATGTGTAGAGAATGGCTGTGTGATTCAATGTGTCACACTTGCTGACTTGTACTAGGCTGTAGCATGTATGGCGGCATATTGTATCCCCATTTGTGCATTGCCACTACTAGTCAAGGCGTTAATATTGTAACCGCGAGACTCACGATCAGCAGAGAGTTACACGTTTAGGCACCACCGGCTAGCCCTTGCCGTTGACGATTCGTCTCTTTGATCGCCTCCACACTCGGTCAAAATACCTTTTTTTTTTTTTTTTTTTTTTTTTTCAATGAGCGGCATACAAACATAGCTGGGCGATCTGATCTGGCGGGATAAATCTCAATCCAGCACTAGCAATGACATGTCAAAATCTGAATGGCGGAGCCTTCATTCTGCTATCCGCCATCTCAACATGAAGAAATTGCAGCGATGGCAATCTGATCTGACTTTCGTCATCACGACGGTCCCATTGCGGGTAGACCCTGGAATCTGTAGGCATACGCACGTCAATCTTATCGACATGAAGGATTCGGTGGGACGCAGAGAGTGTCGCCCCCCTGTTGGGCCACCACAGTAAGCAGCGTTTACATACATAAGCCCGACAGGGCCTCACACTGCCAGGCCGCCGCTCTTCTCTTGAAGCTCTCCAAGAAGAATCTTTCCTTTCTTCCTTTCAGACGACAAGAAACAATGGTCCGTGGCAAAGAGTTATCGCCGCAACAGCGATCGCAGATCTGCGAACTGCACAGTCTCGGCTATGGCTATAGGCGGATATTTAAGCTGCTGGCAGAAGTGCCGCTTTCAACCATCAAATACACTTGTCAGCAAGAGGCTAAGCGCAAGGAAAACCAGAGCAGGCCACGGTCCGGGGCACCACGGAAGTTGCAAGTACCCAGCAGAGGGTCACGCCGGCGGAAAGACTCTTCGCCAGTTCCTGTTGACGATATAATAACACAGAATTTCACCGGGTTGGATGATGCCACTTATCAGAACGTCACTTACCATGACCTGCTGGCCATGGTTGACTGGTCGATATTTCCTACAGAGCAGCTCCATCCGATTGATGGCATGGGCCTGGTGGACGATGCGGCAGTAGCTCAAATTGATGCAGCAGTAACTCAGATGGATAATTCAATGACTCAGATCGGCGATGCAGCACCCCGAATGAACGATATAACAACACATATGGATCATCAACTGCACCAATTGGGAGATCCAGTAACACATATGGATGATAGGATGCCTCTCATCCATGATATAGCACCTCATATCCAAGATATAACATCTCACGTCAACAACGTGACACCTCAGATCAACGACATGACACCTCGGATCAACGACATAATACCTCAGATCAATGACATAATACCCCAGATCGAAAACACCCACATCAACGACACAATAACCCAAATAAACAACATGGCAGCGGATACAGACTTGAATCTGGTATTCCAGGATCCCACCTACCAAGATGTCTCTTATCATGACCTCCTCGCCCTGGTCGACTGGTCAATTGTATGGTGAAACAAGGGCGCATCGTGACATAACATTTTCTTACGAGAAGTAGATGAAAGAAAACGCCGAGAATTACGGCGGCACCAACTTACACCTCGCCAAGTTGCCCTTAGCTGGTCTTGGGATGAACCGAGCGATGACCCCCACTGCTTGGAATAGGCTATGGTCTGCTACGGCCTTGAAAGGTGCTTCGTGATACCCGCTGGAGCAGGTAAACTGCTCAATGCAATATGATGTGGAAAAGATGTTGGACGAAAGGGGAGCCGACAATCATAAATGGATAGAGGATATGCTCGGGTTGGTCGCCCTTGGTGGCGGGTCATAACCCAACTTACGAGCCTCATCTCTACTTGGATTTTTTCTACTTAGCGCTTTCTTTGTATATGATATGGCGCTCTACATATAGAAATGACGTTGGAAAAAAAAAGAATTCTTTATGGAGTTATGGACTGGGACTAAGATCCGGCTGCTGTTCTCTCCTGACTGGGACTCAGCAGAGAACCTTGAAGCGCCGAAGAAAGAAGAAAACACTGTAGATTTAGAGATACATCGAGCTTATAGATGCTTGGATTCAATTGAGACTTTGATCTTGTTTTGCTACCAAATAGGCCAAGTTTTTCTTTAGTGTTGTTTTTTTACCACCTTTTGGTCATATAACGGATCATTGGAGTCAAACCGGCTTTACATCTTATATGTAAGAGTAGCAATGAAATGTCCATATACATAACTTCTGTAGGGCCATTTGATGCAAAACTAAGTATTTGAAAAATACATGTTTCTTCTATCTATACCCATCATTTTACTTGGAGGAATACCAAGGCATCTACCTTTAATCAGTGCCACGCCAGGCAAGATATAGAGAATTGCAGGCATAGTGTAAGAAAAAAAGGTAAACTGTCTTTGTTAATCATAACGTGTATCGCTTAAGAGTTTACTTACCTATATACTAATGACGTCAATTTGAGGAATTGATTCAGGCTGTTTTACATTGCTGGTGGCTAATACACCACAAAGGAGACATCAGAGAGTATCAGAATGAAACCTGACACTAGCTCTCCATCAACTGCCTGCATTATTTACATACGAATGCATGATTGACTGTTGATGGCATCATTAGCATTCTTACTTTGCTGCTATTAGGCTGGTCTGATATTTTCGGTCGCCCGTTTCTTATAGCCGATAACAAAGCCGTCTGCCAAGTGTTCAAGAATCTGCTAAACATTTAGCCCAAAACTACGGAATACCCCAAGCGACGATGAACAATTTGAGCTAGGACCGACTCGTATTCTTGGCAGCGGCGGCTGTTGATAGCCTCCCCCTTTTCTTTGCTCGATGATGGCACTTCGGAGGAGCAGTACGAGCCGTATTGCATGATCGAGTCGAAAATGAGCATATGCCGCGCCGTAAATGGAGGCATTCCGGTGGGTTTCACTCTACGGTATACAGATGGGCTCGTGATAATGACGGGCGTGTTTTTCACCATTGAGCAAGACAGCCGAGTCACAAGGCTGAGGCTGGGTTCACCCAAATGCCAACCTGATACCGCCGTGGCGTGTCGCAATAGGTTGCTAGCACGTTTACATACGGAGTACATGTTGGATAGTCTGTGCTCGTATTGAGAGCACTACGCCGATACTGGTCGATTACGGCAGACTAGAGTAGCATCGCATGCTTAAAAAAGAAACAAAAAAGGAGGCCCATCCTTGTCTTGTCCCAGTTCGGTTCGAGGAGAGAGAGGCCTCTCAGCTTCTGCTGAAACAAAGGGCAAAAAAAGAAGAAGAAAAGAGAAGCAGAACATCGGAGCATTCTTCCACACACACCACTTTTTGGCGATCCTGGGAATTTCCACATTCCTCAAGCTTCAAACACAAGAAGGTGTTCGTTACAGAGTGAGCACGCATTCCAGCTCAGCTGGCGAGCGTGGATGCACCGTGGAAATGAGGGTCTGCGGTGTAAACGGTGATGCCAAACCAATAGCGGCTGCTTGGCCAAGCCCCGTAATCTTACTAACACGAGCAAGAGATTGATCCGTTGGAGCTGGCAGATCCCCGTGGACGCGTCCCAAGATACGGCTATTGCCGCTTCAGTGCACCGGGTGAGCCAGACAATCGGGCGACGTGAGGGCTGCACGTGTACGGCATCCCGAAGGTTGGATGTTGGTCCCAGCAGTCGCTGCTTGGTACCTGCAGCGGATGATAACAAGGGCCAGGCACGCGTTGAGATCCTACTTGTGCAGCATGCATCAGCTCTCTGTACATGCGTGCTGCCCTGCTTCATGCACGGGAGATTGACTTGGATTCATCAATTACTAGTAAATCGCAGCTTGGTCGAATAGCAGCGCGCCTTGCCATTGCCTGTTATACACACCGAAATGCAAGTAAAATGAGCATTTCAACGTGGTGGTTACCTTACTGTGCATAGTGGTACTGCCAAGCAAGAAGCAGCTGCTTTGCCATACTGGTACTAGGTACTACTACATACATACAGCACTATCACTTGTGCGCACGCAATGCGCGCATGCACTAGGTCTAGCATCTTACAGTAAATGAGCTGATTATTGCTTTGGCTATTCGCTGGCCTGGAAGGTTCCGGATCTGAGTCGATTTGCGTTGCATGAATTTGGACGGCACGCGGCTACCTCGTAGCAGTAATTGATCTGCACGCCGTGCCAAGTCAATGTACACGCTACCAGAAGGCTGCGCTGTAATTACGGCAATCAAACGCTTCACCACGTCTTGCGCGTGTACTAGCTACTCGGAAATAGGCCCTTTTCCAGGCCTCTCCTCCTCACACACACTGCGGCTAATATGACTAGCACGGGTGCTATGTACGGATACATGCACTGACACTATCGAACAACTGCAGTCAATGGCGATGGCGCCGCAGCCTTGCCTGCTGGACTTGGCGCCAGGGACCAGTCCATTACAACCGTCGACGCTAAGCCCACTGACAAGCAGGGTCCCTAACTACGATAGGCAGCGATAGCTGCTGCTGCTACAGAAGGAGGGGGAAAACCGCGCAGGCGAGGGAGCTCGGATTCGATGCTAACGGCCAGCCTGAAGCAGCCGCGACAGTGCACTGTACTGTACGGAGCAGCGCTCAACGTTGGACAAGAGAGAAAACGGATGGACGGAATGGAGGAGAAGCCCAGAGTAAACAAGAAAAACAAACGATCTTATAAAAAAGGAAAAAAAAAAAAAAAAAAAAAAAAAAAAAAAAAGAGCTTGCGGTGAAGAAAATGTACTCTGCAGCACAATGTCCAGTGCAGAGTGACCTTGGGACTGCCAAAAAGCTGGCTTCTCTCTCGGCCGTTAATATTAAAGGCACGACGCCAACCCCTGCGCCGAGACGGGCTAAGACGCCTAGCGCTCTCGCTATTGGCCAAGCAGCCCTCCCGGCGCCAGGGGCTTGCGCGGGTGCTCGGGCAGGCGATGCACAGGTTCCTCGCAAGTCACTTTCTTGGTGCGCCGTATGACTGCTAGCACACTGTCAAGTTGACCAAGCGAAAAAAAAAAAAAAAAAAAAAAAAAAAAAAAAAAAACCACAGCCCCTTGTCACCGACCAGCCAGAGCCGGGCTTTTGCCAGTGATTGTAAGCCCATGGGACCCCAAGCCGGGCAGCTCCAGCAGCTGGAGCTCGACAGCCTCTCTTTTGCGGGTTCCGCAGCCTGGCGAGGGATTTTTTTTTTTTTTTTTTTTGGGTGACAGTCAGGCCATGCATGAGCTATTCCGTGCTCGTACAGAGAGAGTGTGTCTGCGCGCAAAGAATGATGCATTAGCCGCATGTCGTGAGCTTTACTGCTTACGCCGACTTATTGGTTAGCAGGCAAGTGGGAGCGGTATGCTGTAGTTCTCCCTGGCACTGCAGTTGTGCTACCTGACTATTCGAGATGCGTATTACTGTCCTGCACAGCAATTGAACCATGGTACACGGCCGGTACTTGGCCGAACGACAGCGAAGCCATCGTGAAAATGGCGATATCTTTCTTGTCTTGCCCTTCACCGCGCACAGGCATGTGGCGGACCTGTACGAGCGTCGTGGGCTCCGGAACCCTGTGCTGCTGAGTAAAGCAACATTGAAAATCTCCAGGCGTCTACTTGTGGCAGGTGAGTCTCTGTTGCACGGGCATGCCTCCGCCACCTTCGGCAGCGAGCTGGAGCTTGTTTTTCCACGGCAATCTGAATCACTGGCGATTGATCGACAGGTCCAGAAGGGGGAGGGAAAAGAAGCCACTAATACATACCACCGGAAAGTGAGAACAGCTACTGTACTTGCGAGGTACCTGTCGAGGCGTTTCGCCGCACCACCAGCTTTCTAAAAAAAATCGCCCGTAGCGTGGGCTCGTGGGCCGCCAGCCAATGGGGCGGCAGGCCACTGTTTTACCCCTGGCCCGCTGTCCTCAGGCGCGATGGACCGGTACCTGATGCGCGTTTAAGCCATGCCGCCTGAGCCCACCAGAAGCCGTAACGCTAGGCCGTCCACCGCAAAGTACCGCACTATTTTTTTGGCCCTTCTATGTGTGTGTGCCCCGTCCGGCCATGGCGCAACCCACGCGCTCGCCCACCGAAAAAACGCGGCCCACCATGTGCTGCTGCTGCCAGTCCCGTTTTGGCGGGTGCAATTTCCAACCCTCGCCGCCTAGACGGCACGGTGGCGGTGCTTTTCCTCGCTCTTTGAGGTCGCATGAATCAAAAGTTTCTTTCACCAGACGGGGGGATCCCTCGTTAAAATCCTTGGGCTTGGCTGGGTACAGGGGTAGGGGATCCCTGGCAGGAAAAAAAAATAATACTTGGAGGCTCTCTCTCGCTTGCACTGTACAATAGGTCCAAGTAGATGCCTTTTTACCGCCAGGAGCAACCTCTGGCTGGAGCTGGCGGTACCTGGTTTGCCGCCGGTTCACGCATGTTGGCGCTGTGTATCGCATCCCCGGGCGACGTTGTACCTGGTTTGAGCCAATGCGCCGCAGCGTTGGTGCGTGGGTGGTCTCTCCTCTTGCCCGCCCTCCATTCCAAGGCATCGCCCCCAGCCGCGGTGTGACATCGGGAGAGGAGAATGGAGGGAGGCAGAAGAACGAGGGCGAGAGCGCCACTCGTACAGTATGACCGTTGCAGCATTGTTGCTATTGCCAGCGCGCATCAGACAGAGCACTGTATTCTCGCCTTGTAGAAGCCCCAGCGGCGTTGTTTTCTGCGTTCTCTTTAGCAGACAGACCTGCCGGTCCACTGGCATGTGCTCCATTGCCTAGTCGTAGCATCATCCATCTGTAATACTCTAGTTGGGCGAGAGAGAAGAAAAAAGGACGAAAAAGGCATGTCCCGGCCTTGCCTTGAAACTCTGCGGAGAGCTCCCGTGGCATGGCATCCCCTGTCAGCGCAGCGCAACGTGTACAGGTACACGCGCGCCGGTATGGAGCCCCGTACTCTGCAGGCCTGCCGCCGCAGCAGCTGCCCGCAAGAGGCCCCGGCTGGGTACCTGCAACAGTACCTGGCCATGCACCCGCTTGGCGGTATCGCGACCCGTCGTCGCGCAGCGCTAGAGCCCATCCGCCTTGAACAATTTCTCTGCGCTCTGTCGTCTCCTCGTTTCCTTTCCCCTGCCAAAAGCCATCCCACACCCCCCTGTTTTGTGTTTCCCATCCACTGTCTCTCGTTCCTCTTTCGCTTGCGGCGCAATCTCCAAGTCTTATTTCCTCCCTCCGTCCCTCGTCCTTTTCCCTCTTCCCCCCCAATCCATCGCCATCCCGCTCATTCGACAAACTGCCCGCCAGGCGACGTGGTTCCCCCCTTCGACTTCTCGACCCAGCGCTCGCTCGCGCGTCAACGCCTCTCTGTCGAGAATCCGGTGTTTTCATGACTGAATGACCCCAGGGGCCTCGGGAGGTTCTCGCCACGCTTTACCTTCGTTCGAACTGCCTTTGCGAAACCAGGCTCCCCGCAATCCGCTTCCACGGTGACGGACGCTACATGACGATTTATTCAACAACCCGACGCTCATTTTATTGATTTTTATTTTTATCGCACATACGTATTGGCACACGCAGCTCAAAAATGTGAGTCTTTATTTCGGACATGGCTTGTGGGTGGAGGGAGGGATTGATTATTGGTTACGAGGCGTCTAAGAGCGAGGACAAGAGGAGGGAGGAGAGCAAAGGAGGCGAGATGTGCGCTCGAGGCTTTGAACCGCCCATTGGGAGTTTTGCCTGCCTCTTCTTGATCAATGCAATCTAGATTTGCTTGGTCTAGTTGCAGAATGCCGAAGGTGATTGGCTTTGCTGTGATGACGCATGCCTCGTATTGGGAAAAGAAGACCACATCGTGAAAGCGCTGAAGAAGGCCTCTGCTGACTTGACTTACGCAGATTAACACACTCTTTGACAATTGTCAATTACATTCGTTGAAACTGTTCCTGACAGTGAGGCGCTCCGCTCTGCCCGTAAAAAAAAGGGGTGTTGATAGTTCTTTTCCTCATCACTAATCATTATAATAGTAATACTTGCCTTGCAACATAAAACTCCACGCTCCTTTAAACCAGGGAGGATTATACAAAAACACATTCATTACTCTACGCGACGACCCGGAACCGATTCGCAACCATGCAGACCAAGGTTTTCGCCTTGGCGGCCACCTTCGCCTTGTCCGTGGCCGCCTCCCATGCCGAGCGTCCCAAGATCTACTACCCTCACAAGATCAAGCGTGAGCTTGGCGTTTTCAACTCAACAACCTCCCACACAACCAGCTCCACTGCTAGCACTTCTAGCAGCAGCACGAGCAGCTCGACGACTCACAGCCAGGACTTGGCCGACTACATCTCCAGCCTTCTGGCGGGAGCGGGAGCGGGTGATCACTCAAGCACCTCAAGCACCTCCTCCACTTCGGCTACCAGCTCGTCAGCCACCAGCTCGTCGGCCGCTAGCTCAACGGCCAGCAGCTCAGCCGCGAGCAGCTCTTCGGCGGCCAGCGCTTCGCCATCAGGCAGTGTGACGACCATCGTTCGACAGAAGACAATCATTGTCACGCCGACGCCCGAGGGAGCTTCCCCGACTCCTTCTCCTTCTGGATCGTCCAGCTCAGACTCTGCTTCTCAGTCGTCCTCTTCAGCAGATTCCAGCTCGGCTTCCGCTAGCTCGGCCTCCTCTAGCGCAGCCACTTCTTCTGGAGCCGCCTCTAGTGCTTCTTCTTCTGCGGCTCCAACCAGCTCTGACGGACCTGGTCTCAGCCTCGGCCTGGGAATTACACTCGGAGGAAGCTCGACCACCTCTTCGACGGCAACCACCAGCGCTTCGATCCCTACCGGAACCGGCTCTTCCTCTGTGACCTCTGCTACCCCTACTAGCTCTGCTGATTCGGGCATCAACCTCGGTCTCACCCTTGGAGACAAATCGACCTCTTCTACGGCATCCTCTTCGGCCACCGCTTCCGCGACTTCGTCCAAGGCTACTGACACTGGAATTGTCATTGCTCCCACTGGCGTGCTCTTCCCCTCCTCCACGAGCGCTACTGCTTCGGAGTCTGCCAGCGCCAGCGCCAGCAGCACTCTTGATAGCAGCGTCTCGGGCAACTCTACCATTGCAGAAGTCTCCGTGTCTCAGTCTCAGACTTCATCTGGCCTACCGGTTCAGACGTCACTTTCCGGCACTGGTGCTTCTTCATCCACTACTTCAAAGGGCCTCCTCCCTAGCTTGAGCCTGTCTCTGCCTTTGTCTCTGCCAACCACTCTGCCACCCTTGATTCCCACTTCGACGCCTACGACATCTGCATCAGATGTTGGCAACGCAACTTCCTCGGAGGCTCCCTCCTCGACCTCGAGCACCGGCCTGAGCCTCTCCATCCCTATTTCGCTCCCGCCGATCCCCACAAGCACAAGCTCCGAAGTCCCAGTCGGCAACTCTACCAGCAGCGAGCCTCCCGTCACCACTAGTCCTCCCACGAGCATTCCCACCAGCGTTCCGGCCAGCACTACCAGCGCTCCCACCGGCTCTGTCACGAGTGTTCCTGTTAACACTACTAGCTCCGACGAGCCGACGGGCCCGATTACTTCGCCTTCTGTCTCGGTTACCGGCTCGTCTTCTTCTGCTGTTGAGACCAGCTCAGTTGCCAACTCTACCGCTGTTACCTCTGCTCCTGCGACTGAATCATCGGCCCCCACCAGCGTTGAACCAGCTACATCGACCCCTGTCTCTACCTTGGTAACTGTCTCGAAAACTTCAGCCCCAGTGGTCACCTCAGCTCCAGTCCAGACGTCATCCTCGAGCGCTGCGCCCGTCACTAGCATTAAGCCTACCGCTACGCTGACCAATACCGCTGACTGGCTGCCGACATCCATTGTGATTGAGCCTACCACAAATGCATGGACATCACCAGCCTCCACTCAATCTGTGTCCACCGCCACCGCGCTGCCAACCAATGTTCCCAAGATCATCTACCCTGACGATCCCAACACTCCTGTTCCCGAAGGCACAGAACCCATCCAGGTTGGATTCTTGTATCCCCTCAACTACATGTTTGTTGCCAGCAACACCGTTGCTGCTGCCCAGATCTTCAAGTACTTGCCTCAAGCTCTTGCAAACGCAGCTGGTCTCGATGTTGAAAAGGTTCAGGTTGCTAAGCTCATCCCTTACGACACCCGCGCTCAGTGGGGCTATGTCACTGCTCTGGCCGTCATCAACTACCCCCAGAACCTCATTGATAAGCTTCAGCTGGATATGTCGGTTGCCAACTCTGCCATCTACAACAACCCCGACCCCATTGTTCGCAGCTTGACTGCTCAGATCAACCCCAAGATTAGCATCTTTGGTCAAATCGACGATGCCGGTTCCGCGGGTGGCAGCTCTGGCTCCTCCGGCAACAATGGTGGTGCTCCTCCTGCTGCTGGCTCTGGCAACGATGCCTTTGGCACTACCAGCACGGATAACCAGACCTCGTCTCAAAAGGCCAAGACCGCTGGTATTGCCATTGGTTCCATCAGTCTTGCTTCTCTCTATGGTGGTGCCATGTTCATCATTGCCCGCCGCTACAAGCGCAAGAAGCAGTCTCACCGCCGCTCCAGCTCCATGAGCAGCGACCAGCGTTCGTCTGGCATGCAGTACACTGGCAACGGAAGCCCTGCTCTCATGGGTGGTGCCCTGATGAGCCGTGATATGAGCACCTATGGCGGCACCGGAATTCGCAACAGCCACAATAGCGGAACGAGCTCTGCTCGAACTGCCAACATCTCCGCCCCTGTTGCGGCCGAGAATTCCCTTGGCTGGAACTGATGATGTACACGCTTTTATATCGGCCCTTTTTCTTACCTTTTAAATTTATTTCGTCCTATTTTTACCATTTACTTTTTTTTCCCTTTTGGATATCCGTGCATCATATTTCCTTATTTAAACTTCGATACCCTGGGGGGGCTTTTGCTCATGAGGATGCAGGACGATGTCTTAACGAATTTCTTGATGTCTTTGCCAAGATGACTGGGGCTTTTTGACTGCAATTGGCTCCAGGCCAACTTGACTCTCCTCCCTCTTGGGTAGTTTTAGTTCCAGCGCATAGTGAAATTTATTTCTTCTCTTATTTTTTTTCACCCCGCTGACTATCTCTTCCCTCCCAATTTACACTTTACGCCGACCACCACACACACCTCTTTTACACCAAAGTAAAAAGAGAGGATGGCGCCGACCTAGTGATATTTTTTATTCTTCTTCCGGCTCTCTCCCCATCCTGGTGACCTTGGCATTTGTTTTTTTAATATTCTTAGCCTTTGTTCTGGAGTTGGAATGAGATAGATGGTCTTGTGACGGGAATCGTGCCTTCAGGGCCAGCGTTGTCGTGCAACCTCCTTGGAGCGAATACACTTTTTTCCTTTTTCCTTTTTTTGGTGGAGAGAGAGAAGAAAAAAAGAAAAGAAAGAGGTGGACTATTTTGGGGCGGTGTCCTCGAGAAATTTTCAGGTCGTGTTGTGTTCGGATTTTGAACAGAGTTTGGGGGGTGTAGTTGTGAATGGAGAGAGGGAGAGGGAGGTCAAAGATAGTGGAAGTTTTTTTTTTTTTTCTTTTTTTTAGAAAAACACAAAACTATATTGACACAAATTAAAACGTGGACTCTGAATCTGAATGGGGGATGAGGGAGTGAGTGAGAGTGTGTCATGTTTTCACATAGACGACAGACAATACATCGATTTAATTAATTCATATACGATGCCGGGTAATGGGATTTTTTCTTTTTTGGTCTGCCAATTGGTGAAATGAAGTGAAGTGAAGTGAAAATAAAATACTACTTCATGGACAACATCTCCGCATGGGTGGGCCATTTTACAGTCGTAGGACTTTGAGTTGATACATCATCGCTTTATTTGCCGGAAATAGGCAGCGTTAATTCCTCTGACTGCCGAGCCACGTATTTGACTGGAAATCCTCCTGAAATCCTCCTGTTCACACCGCTTATAGATGCTGTGGGCTGCCTATGCCTATGCCGTAGGATCCTTGGTTTACGCTTCTTTGTAAGTATTATTAATAAGATGGTAGTGGGGGTGAGTTAGAATAACTATCGTCATTGAAGGTGATAGATCAGTATAGGACTGAGTTGATTGACTGCTTCGACCTTTTTGGTCGGCTTATTCGGCTTATTAGTCCTATCTGCAAAGGGATTCCATTTTATAATAGGTCCTACTTTGATTTGTTGTACGTGACTTTTGTTTTTTCAGCATTTTTCCTTTCTTTGCATGATTGTTTTGAGTTTCCAATGGTACGGCAGTGTAGCAGAGCGTGTGTAAATTGCAGGTCTCGTCGAATTAAAGTATGCTCTGGTAACGTTTGCCTTTCCTGTGTGTCAATTCTGTTCATAAATAGGAACGAACGCAGATGAAATGAAGAGATAGATCTTTTTTTTCTTGCTAACTTTTCAAGTAGTGCAATGAATCGAAGCCGCGATGTGCGCAGTGCGCGAGAGCGGGCTTGTTTTGCTGGGGATACAGGAGCGAGATGGAGATGAGGTTTATTGACGTGACGGAGAGGACGACGCAGGGGGCGAGACAGGGAAAGAGGAAGAGCTCGAAGAATAATTCAGACCGTAAAAACTCGTCCTTATTTTCATCATCGTCATCATCCTCGTCCTCGTCGTCACAATCATCCATCACCAAGGCTGTAGTGCGGCGAAGACAACAACAACAGCAGCACGAACTACTACCCTCACCAACTTTCAACTTCCCCATCCCCATAGAGTCGGTCGCGCAGGTCTTCTTCTTCCGGCACTACTCCGTCGCAGGATCGATCCGCCTTTACGAATCGCAACGGGCGTCTAGGATGTCAACGCTAAAGATGATGGGCATTGTGGCCGTGGGCATGGCAGGGCTGGCGATATCCAAGCGAGATCATGGCGTGATGGCGCTGGCGAGGGCAAAGTACGGATCGACTCTGCTTTCCATCAACGATGCGATCAAGGTTCGTGAGGAGGTGGCTAAAGAGAGCACGTTGGCGGCGGTGACGATGATGGCCAGGTTCGAGGTACGTTGTTGGCGGATTGCTGGGACTTTTGTGCTTTCTTCGAAACTAAACGATCTTAGATTATTGCTTGTCAGGATTGTTCTACGCAACAGGCTTGGATCTGTCATTTGCAAGGTGCTGCGGTCATGCTGCGGCATTGGACCAAGGAGGAGTGGGACAAGGTGACGAATCCACGAACCTTTCTTCACTTTTTCTATATGCTGGTATGAGCTCCTATAAAGCGTCACGGGGTGTAGACATCATCTAAATAGTTCTTTACAGGTAATGGGCTGCATCATTAAACGGACGTCTGTTTCTGCTCACATTCGCAAGATTGTACAGTCATATCCCCTTTTCAAGCTTGATGCCCAAGTAGAACCAGCGACTCGCCTTTTCGACATAGTATGTAAACTGGCAGATCTACATTCTTGTCAGGTCACCCAAGTCACCGAGAGAGTCTCGACAGCCATGAGCATCGAAAAAGAGCTGCTCGCATGGAAATCAGACCTCCCCGAGAATTGGAAATATTCCCTCGACGAGAACAAGCTTGACAAAGCCTATGGGCCCTCTTGTCACGTCTACGCATCCCCTTGGCAGTCTCACATCTGGACTCATTATCGCATCTGCCGACATGTTGCACACTCTGTGCTCTTACAATATCTAGATACTCTCGCCTTGCCCATCGCGAAAGCGCATCCCGCGCTCATTGAGGCGTGTGCGTCGCAGCGAGAAGCTTCACGCGAGATTCAATCGATTATGATGCGTGACCTTTGCGCCAGTATGCCCTACATCTTGGGTTTTTATGATAAGACAAAGGGGGATAACATGCTGTTTCCTCAGCACTCGGGGGTGTTTGGTCTTCTTGGTTCCATTCAGGCCATGGTAGGGGTAGCGGGTATCTTTGAACAAGATGTTGGTTGGTTGTGTGTGATGCTCAAGTATATAGGGAGTCGGTTGGGGATTGGACAGGCTTTGGTGATGGAGAGATGTCTCAAGGCGCAAAGAGCTGACATGATTTAGCAATGATTGTATCTTTATTCTTTTGTTACATATAATACACGTCTAACAATTGGCTAGAATAGATCACGCATGTATACACTCCTAGTCCTTTTTTTATCTCACCGGATTTCCACTTCCACTCGGTATAAGCCGATTTGCCATTCACAATGCTGAGGACTAACTAGCCGGAAGCAATAGGTGTGCGATGGCCTCTCCAGTGCTTTGGAATTCATCGTTACTGAGTTTGGGGTTCTTGTATTGCATGAGGATTATGCAGAGAACTTGGTCGTTTTTTATGATATTGATAGATGGAATTAAATCAAGTGACTAAATGAATGATCTTATATATATACACTATATATGTTGGGACAATTCATGTGTGAATGTGTGAATGTGTGCAAGAAGTAGAAGGGCAGACAGTCTGTAGTACCTGATACTACGGCCCTAATGTACTTGAGCATATCACTGCCATAAAACAAACAAATTAAAAGATCAAACTAGAGTAAGGGTTAGCATTTCTAATCAATCCGTATTTTCCTGTTTCTGTTTCTCCCAGCCTAGATTGCGACTGATATTCCCATTCGAACAAATGCGCAGACATTCTTACGGTACTCTATGAGCTGTCAACCTATTTCCGAGTTCTTCTTTTCTTACGATTTATGCTGGAGGGATATAGGAGACGCTAAAAGACTATGAATGTGCTGCTGTTTTGGGAACAGTAGGCACTCTAAGATGGATAGATCAAATTTGAGCGAGCTTCGTCTGAGAGAAGGCCAAACATAAGATACGTAGGAAGGCCGGTCTTCATGACCTTCTTATTGGGTAGCTCGTGTGGGTTAAAGTTTATTGTCTCTTTGATTTGATCATCATCTTATTTGAAGAGATTACACCCCGCCCTATTCTTTATTGTCTAGTCTCTGTTTAAGTGACATGTCTGCATTAGAAAAAAAGTGATCTTCTCTTTCAACTCAGAGACGCCGCTCTGGGACCAAGAAATATTCTACATACTCAGTCGATAAAAATAACATATTGATGAATGTCATTTCTTTTCATAGCCGACTAGTGGTTCACTTCACCCTAGCACTTTACAGAGTGGTGTCGTGCAACAAATGAGGATGGGAATTTGCGATTATTTATGCTTTCTCACTTTTGCTTCCTCCAGCATTTAATGTACTCCAAAATCGTATCATTGGCGGATTCTTTTGTATACATTTCCTCTCCTTGGCCTTTTCGTATCTTAACAACTCCTCTAGTCTATAGCTAATGACTAATACGCCACGATCTGACAAAGCGCCAGTCGTAGCTATACCTAACGCTATTTGTAGAGCCTTACCGAAGGCTATACTACAAAACTCATAGGAGTAGCACGATGAACTGAAACACTAGGACAGACAAGAGAAAGAAAGGAAGAATATGCGAGTCGGTTGCCAGGATGTCAAAATGCAGATGCAATAAGATGTAAGAGTTTCATCTAGACTCTGGTAATGACACCTTTCAGATTAGAATGCAAAGGTTAGGTAACACTCTATCTTCTTACACACCATAGAGTGGTTGAATAAATCCGGCGCTTTGTAATGATGTTCTATCCTTACAGCCGGTAAACTGATACTTACATAGTAGCACCCACACAGAGATACAAAATATGCGGACAGTTATGAAGACCGATATGCAGGATTCCCTAATGATCCTCCCAATACAGCACATTAGGTAGTAGTTCCTAGAGGCGACTGCATTGTAGACGAATAGGCTTTGCTGAATCATATGCACATAAAAAGAAAATTGTAACTGCACTACTGACTGCTTTGGGTAGACTGACGAATTTGGAATGAAACCAATCAACAAAGAGTACACAGAGATTTTATCCCTCATTAGACTACGTCTTTACTCCGAGTTTACAGCCCTACCAACTGACGAATTGTTGTGTGGCATCATTAAGCCGCACCGTTTACTATGAGGATGAGCATAACCGCGCACGGCAATTGCGGCTTCAAAATGGGCCATATAAAAAGCCTCGGTTTGTTGTCAAAGGATGTCCAAGTATTCGTACAGGCAGCGTCAGTTGCCACGGTGGGCATTGGTATGGATAGTCTCCATACGCTTTCGCCGAGTTCTCCATAGCCGGTCCCTGGCCATGTTAGTTTTTTCCCCTTCTTTTTAGCAGTTGACACTATGACACTAAGTACTTAGATACGTCACTTAGAGCATCTTCTTTATGATCCTATTATCTCGGCCGTAAATCTTTAGCCCAAGAACTAGTGTATGCACTCCATACAAAGTGCCAGTAATGGTTGTATAAATGAACGTTTTATAGTGTTAGAGGGCTGATCTCCAGGGTCCATGTTCCGTACCGCGCCAGCATCGGCGATCCCGGCTGGTTCGGTTTCTCACCGACTAACGTTAGCAATTTGCAATGGCCAATGCTAGGGATCTCAGTGGCCAATGGCAGATCCAAAATTGGGCCTAGAAGTAGGGGAAATCTGTCAAAAGACGACGGTTTAGGCTGTTGGATCGGGTCTCGGGGTTGACCCTCCACAATTTAGCACCGAGTTGACAGGGAAGTTTCAGTTCATGCATCTCTTTTTGCCAGGGCGTACGTCAAGTTCTGGCCCTTATGAGGCTGCCTGCATCTTAAATCCACTCCCCCCCTGTCCTATTTGCAGTCGTAATCGAGCCATTGCTGTCAAGACGAAAACTTTCAAGGCAAAAAAAAGGGCTCTTTTGGTTCGTGGTTGGGTGCCACTGAAATGGTGTCATTCAGGCCATGCGTGGCGTTGCGCGCTAATAGGTGTTCCGCTGTCGTCCAGGGATGACGACCGTAGTGTAGCGCGGGGCAAAATCTCGGATCCTGGCACGAATAATAGTAAAAGTCTATTGGATGAGTAAGATTCTCGGAGTGTTGATGCAAAATCTTTTGAAGTGTTCACCCGAGGAGAGACCAAGGACATAAGAGAAAAAAGTCTAATTCAGGGCGGTTTAAGTCCATGGAGAACCTTCGGGGATGCAATTGGCCACTCCATTGCATATTGTGCGAGTCGTACAAGGTGAAACGTTTCCTTTCGTAGATCTAGTATTGCGAAATTTCAACCACGGGCCACCTCATCAGTGCCAGTGCTAGTCACGCAATCGATCTTGGCCCCTGAATAGAGAAGGTACGCGAATGTCTCTGGGCCCCATACCCCACGGCCTGTGGCATAAGGTGGCATCATCGGGTAAGATATCTCGTGATTGCTGCGGCTCATCCGTAGTGTATTAGCCTTTCCTCGGATCTGCGATGGATTGACGTGCGAGGACCGGACGGTGTACGGGAGTAAAGGCGGCTCGACTTGTGTCACCTCCAGCCAGCCACCACCAATAAATACTGTTTTGAGCTCCCACAGATCCGCAGCTTTCCCTTTTCCCTTTTCCCTCCTTCATTCATTCATCTTTCGCAAAACGGCCAATTGAGTTGATAGACGAACTGGGCACCATCAAATAGCCACGCCCTTGTTTGCAAAACACATTTCAACAAAATAAGCCTCCCCTGATCGACATGGCTGCCCAAATAGAATTGGTGCAACCTATTGATGTGCCTCCATTGACGAAGGAGGTGACACCGATTATCAGCGAGCTGGACGCACTGGACGAAGAGCGGTTCGTCCTCAAGTCGCCGTACTCAGAGAGACCTCATCTGCTTGACTTGGAGACTGTTTCTCACGAGGCTGGCTTGGTGGCAAAAGCTTTGCGAACCCTGAAGCCAATTCGAGAGGATTATGCCACTGCGCCGTATGAAGAATCCTTTAACTGGCCCGAAGTAATCGAAGAAGTGAGGCGCCTGTCTCAAAAATCCGGCAAAGAATTCAAGGAAACATCATTCTACATTGTCGCCTTCCGCTCGAAAATTTTGACGTACACCGATTATGATTATCTTTGCGAGCTTGATAAGGCCGCTCATGCCGAAGCCGTAGCCAGTGGAGGCTTCTTGAAGTAAGAGGCGCTCCTTATGCCCGTTTTATTGTGATGCTAACCAATGAAACAGATACTGGTTTGGTGAGCCAGACGCAGAGCTCCAAAATCTGTCAACCTGCGTGTGGTGCTCCAGGGAACAGGCAATGATTGGCGGTAGAGGGCCAGCGCATCGCAAGGCGGTGAGCGTTACTCGGCATCAATATGCCTATTATAACATCGACCAACACCGACTCACCATCCGAGACAACGTGGATGATTGGTCGATTTCGTGGTGGAAATGAAGATGATCGGCATTCGCCATCTTCCCCTAGCAACTTTGCTTGGTTGATGAGTTCTGACCAGAGACGACGACAATTATTCGGGAAAAACACAGGTGCTGGGAGCAAAAGGGTTTGATTGGATTTGAAAACATCATGGGAATTTTTTAGGATATCATGCGGCAAGCGAGCATTATGTTGGCATTTGAAAAACAGGTAAATGAACTGTAAAATAGAGGAATAAAGCTATACTTGCATACTGAGACAAAAAGAAACGATCGCAGTGAAGCGCGAAAGATGATGGTAGCACAGCCGTGACACTAGACTCCTGAATGCCCGGCGAGTTCATGTTGGTTTGAGACGCTGTGAGAGTTTGTGATGAAATGTGAGTGTATTCGGCTACTTAGTACTATATAGGTCGCCGGGAATAATCGCAGAGATTGTTGTTATGAAATCGAGCAAAGCTTCTGGAGATGTAGCTGGTAAGGTTCATAGCCGGGCGTTGGTAGTTGGAGGTTAATTTTGACCCTGCTTCGAGTTCTGCCGTCTCTCACCGCCCTGAACCCACAACGCCCACAAATCTGGTAGGCGAAAAGTTCGATATTCACAACAACAGCGCGAGCGCTCCTGAAGCTGCCATCATTTAGCCTTGAACCCGGCATCAACCTCGGCTCGACTCTCGCCATATCTCCCAAGTCTCTCAAATTCCGGCCAAGATGAGCGAAGCTCCCAAAGATGCGCCTTTCCAGGCGGTGCAGGTCGATGCTCTGGTGAGTTCGAGCTCGAATTGCCCCACCCTCCCCTCCTGATGATGATGGAGAGAAGAGAGATCCAGACTGACACTCGGGCAAGGTGATTATGAAAATTGCCAGACACTGCTCCTCACTCTTCCCTACCGTGGCGACTGGTTCCCTCGTGGGAATGGACCAGAACGGAACGCTGGAGATCACCAACACCTTCGCCTTCCCCACCGTCGACAACTCCTCCGCCGACACCCACCAGAGCGACGCGGCCAATGCTGCTGCTGCCGCCCCTCGCGCAAAGAGCAACATTACCTACCAGAACGAAATGATCCGACACCTGAAGGAGGTCAATGTGGATGCTAACAACGTTGGATGGTACACAAGCGCAACCATGGGCAACTTTGTCACCCTGGCTTTCATCGAGAACCAATACCACTACCAGAAGGACAACGACAAGACTGTGGCCCTGGTCTATGATACCAGCCGCAGCTCACAGGGAACCCTGGCCCTGAAGGCCTACCGACTGACAAACATTTTCATGAACGTCTACAAGGAGGGCAAGTTCACTACTGAGAGGTAAGTAGCATACCCGCGGGAGAGTTTTCAACCGTCAGATATGAGCCTTGTGCTGACAAGTTCGGACAGCCTGCAAAAGTCCAAGCTTTCATTCCGTGATATCCTCCAGGAGTACCCCATCACGGTCCAGAACTCACACCTCCTTACCTCTTTCCTCCACCAGCTGCCCTCCCCTCCTGTCCGCGACATCAAGGAGCCCAGTACCCTCAGCGACCTCAACAGCGACCGTATCAAGGCGCCTCTGTACCCTTCCATCGACAACCTGGATCTGTCAGTTGATCCCTTCCTTGAGAAGACTTGCGACCTGCTGCTAGAGAGCATTGAGTCCCACTACGTCGACCTGAACAACTTCCAGTTCTACCAACGCCAACTGGCGCGTGAGCAGACCAAGATTACACAGTGGCAGGCCAAGCGAAAGGCCGAGAACGCCCAGCGCACCCTTGCCAAGCAGCCCCTGCTGCCGGAGGATGAGTGGCAGAGACTGTTCAAGCTTCCCCAGGAGCCAAGCCGACTGGAGGGCATGCTCAACGCTAAGCAGGTTGAGCAGTACAGCAAGCAGGTTGATGGCTTCACGGCCAACATTAGCGCTAAGATGTTTGCCGTGCGGGAGAACCTGCTGCCGCAGTAAATGCAATATCTGCTAAAAGCTGAAAATGAATAAAAAAAATCTTGAACTGATCTTTGGTGGTTGAGACTATTGGCGGCAGGGTGCATTGGCGGCGTTCCGGTTTGGGTGGACTATAATAAAGTACTTCTGGTCTAGATCTGCAGCGACAAGAGAGTCTTAAAAAAGAGTGTTTGAAACTACTAGTAGTATGGATTTCTACGCCTAGACTTGTATTTCCTGTTAGATACCACTATGATTTCTTTCTCTCTTTGCCCTATTTTTCTGTGCTGTGCTTTCTGTTTCTGTGAGATGGGAGTGATGTGAAGCAAAATATCGCACAAGGGGGGGCGAAGCTGTAGCTTTTTAAAGCTGTATCTCTTCCTTTTAGTACGAGTCCAAATTGAGTCTCTAGCACCTTGATGGCTAAGTAGCACCGCACGGCTACCATATATATACGCCTATAGATACATATATATATATACGATATATTACCAGTATTGGGCATCTTGCACAGCTTCAATTGAGGCCGTAATACCGCGCATCTCGTCTCGGGCTGCTGACTTCCCCCCCGCCCCGCATTATATGAGACGTGGCCAAGTCTGTATTGTTTGGCATGTGCATGTGCATGGGCAGAATACGAATACTAATACTAATACTAACAGCACTAGTCGCAAGGAATTGGTGCTATAGGGGAAAAAACTGCAAGCTGAGGATTGAGGATTCTGCCCCGGAGCCCTGGACGTGCAATCCAGCAGCGCTTCTTATTCGTCCAAGCTGGAAAAATCCCATCCAAATCTAATCTGCCCCGCTTGGTGAGAAAATTTACCCCTCTAGGCTCACCGCCCGCTTTTCAACGGATTTGTTCCCCTCTCTGTACCGCAACCATCGGAGCTTTTTTTTTTTTTTTTTAACTGTCGGCATCCCCATCGATTTTTTCTTTCTTCCTCCTTCTCTCCTCCATCTCTCCCTCAAATCCTCCTCCTCAAGCATCTCTTTCTCTATCCAGTCTTCGGATTTTTTTCAACTCCCCTCCTTCACAATGTCTGCTCCCGCCCACAAGTTCAAGGTCGCCGACCTGTCCCTGGCCGCCTTTGGCCGCAGGGAGATTGAACTCGCCGAGAACGAGATGCCCGGTCTGATGGCCATCCGCCAGAAGTATGCCGCCGACCAGCCTCTCGCCGGTGCCCGCATTGCTGGCTGCCTGCACATGACCATCCAGACTGCCGTCCTCATTGAGACCCTCGTTGCCCTGGGCGCCGAGGTCACCTGGACCAGCTGCAACATCTTCAGCACCCAGGACCACGCCGCTGCCGCCATTGCTGCCGCCGGCGTCCCCGTCTTCGCCTGGAAGGGCGAGACCGAGGAGGAGTACAACTGGTGTCTCGAGCAGCAGCTCAGCGCCTTCAAGGACGGCAAGAAGCTGAACCTGATCCTCGACGACGGCGGTGACCTGACCTCTCTCGTCCACTCCAAGTACCCCGAGCAGCTCAAGGACTGCTTCGGTGTCTCTGAGGAGACCACCACCGGTGTCCACCACCTGTACCGCATGCTCAAGGAGGGCAAGCTGCTGGTCCCTGCCATCAACGTCAACGACAGCGTCACCAAGTCCAAGTTCGACAACCTGTACGGCTGCCGTGAGTCCCTGATTGATGGTATCAAGCGTGCCACCGATGTCATGATTGCCGGCAAGGTTGCTGTCGTTGCTGGATTCGGTGATGTCGGCAAGGGCTGTGCCCAGGCTCTCCACGGCATGGGTGCTCGTGTCCTCGTTACCGAGATTGATCCCATCAACGCTCTCCAGGCTGCCATGGCCGGCTACCAGGTCACCACCATGGAGAAGGCTGCCTCCATTGGTCAGATCTTCGTCACCACCACCGGTTGCCGTGACATTCTGACTGGTGCTCACTTCGAGGCCATGCCCAACGATGCCATTGTCTGCAACATTGGCCACTTCGACATTGAGATTGACGTTGCCTGGCTCAAGGCCAACGCCAAGTCTGTCCAGAACATCAAGCCCCAGGTCGACCGATTCACCATGGCCAACGGCCGCCACATCATCCTCCTGGCTGAGGGCCGTCTGGTCAACCTTGGCTGTGCTACCGGCCACTCTTCCTTCGTCATGTCCTGCTCTTTCTCCAACCAGGTCCTTGCTCAGATTGCTCTGTACAAGGCCGCCGACAAGGCCTGGGCTGAGAAGTACGTTGAGTTCGGCAAGACTGGCAAGCTCGACGTCGGTGTCTTCGTTCTCCCCAAGGTCCTGGATGAGGAGGTCGCCAAGCTCCACCTGGCTCACGTCCAGGCTGAGCTAACTACCCTTACCCCCGTTCAGGCTGAGTACCTCGGTCTTACTGTCGAGGGTCCTTACAAGGCCGAGATGTAAGCACTATCCCCCTAACCCATGAATATTTATTGTATGACGAGACATTTACTAACATATCCTTTTACAGCTACCGCTACTAAGCATCTTTCATGTATTCATACCCAAAGGATCCTTCAACTGGACTCCTACGTGTAACGACATCCCTTCCGGATTTATGACCCGGATAATGGGAAAAACTTGTGATTTCAACAGCATCATGAAACCGGCAAGGGGCATATATGGGCAAGGATAAAATAAAAGCCCACGGGATTTTATTGGTTTTTTTCTTTTTTTTTTTTCGTTTGATATTTTTCTTCCCTTTCATCATGGACTTTTTTTTGAGGTTCTCGCTGGGCGGATGGTGGGCAGAAAAGAAATGGCCTTTTCAACAAAAACGGCGTCGGGTAAATTTACTTTTGCTAATGATGATTCCCCCATGGCGAGACATATGCGATAAGACACAGCGCATGATACAGATGGGCTCAGCTCGGAAAGGCGAGATGGGCACATTTGGAGGAGCCCGTCAACCGCGGCTGAAGGAGAAATTACTAGCTATAGAAGATGTGAAATACATACGCGGGCAATTTTAGCCCTGGCTGAGTAAAAGGATGTTTTGTCTTTAAATGTGAATCGACGGGACTGTGCCTGAGATTATTTGTACTAATCAATCTGCCACGCTCCTATTGATTCTGCTTGTGGTGGAAAGATGATGTGATACTTGAAGTTGTAAGGGGTATACGTGGATATTTTACCTGGTTTCATGATATTTTCTGGGTTTGGTGATATAACAGCGGTCACTCTTTATAATCACTATGGTGTATTCTATCTTTAATAGAATCTATAACACAAACCGGCCCCCGACGCATGTAAACCGAGTATAGTCGAAGAAAACAAGGCCATCCCAGCACCATCTATCAACACGCTTTTTTTTCTTTTTGTCTTGTCCGTCCCTCTTCCCTTCACAACCTCGCTCTCAGCAGAGTCTCACGCCAAGTCCTTCTGCTCCGGCACAATGCTCTTCAGCTTCCCCTCCGTCACGGCCAGCCGCACATTGTCAATGGCCCACTCCTCCATCTTCTGCTGCGTCTCCTGCGTCCAGGTGCCCATGTGGGGGACGAGCAGGACGCTCGGGTTGGCCAGCAGGCCTGGGTGGATCTCGGGCTCGTTCTCGTAGACGTCGAGGCCGACGGAGGAGACCTTGCCGGAGGCGAGGGCGTCGACGAGGGCGGCCTCGTCCATGACGGCGCCGCGGGCGGTGTTTACGATGACGATGCCGTGCTTCATGAGGGCGAATTCGGGGGCGGCGACGGAGTGGCGGGTGCTGGGCTGGAAGCGTGTGTCAGTTATATATAGAAGCAAGGTGTATATATATATATATATATATAGAGAGAGAGAGGGAGAGAGAGGTAGTTGCTTACATTCAGAGGCAGATTCAGGCTCAGCACGTCGCTCTCCTTGTACAGCGTCTCCAGGTCAACATACTCGGCGCCGTCCTCCAGCTCCGGGCTCAGCCTGTGGCGGTTGTGGTATCGGATGCGCATGCCAAAGGCGCGGGCCTTTGCGGCGACGTTGCGGCCGATGCCGCCCATGCCCAGGATGCCGAGGATCTTGCCCTGCGGGTCGTGGCCCAGCGCGGGGAGAGGCGAGCCGCGCCACTGGCCCTCGCGCAGGGCCTTGATGCCGATGGGCAGGTTGCGCAGGGCGCCGATGAGCAGCCAGATGGTGATGTCGGCCGTGGCGTCGTCGACGGCCGTGGGGGTGTTTGAGACGCGGACGTTGTGGGCGGTGCAGGCGGGGATGTCGATTTGGTCGTAGCCGGCGCCTGGTGCGAGACTTGATGGTTAGTATATAGATTCTTTCTCTCTCTGTACATAATATATAGGTCTATATATATATATATATCGTGTGTAAGTTTTTTGTGGGTTTCTTACCGTTGTGGCACAGAAACTTGAGGCTCCTGGGCAGCGCGTCCAGCAGCTCGCCGTCGATCCTGCCGGTGACGCTCGCAGAATCAAACGTCCGGTACGCTACGGAGACGCCATCCAGGGCGCCAGACTTGGCTTCGGCGATGAATTCTGCTCTGGTGGTGGCCTTGGGCTGGACGATTTCCGCAATGTCGGAGATGGTGGACCATGCGACGTGGGCACTGGGAAGTGATTGATGGTTAGGCTCTGGCTTCATGACACACACGAACATGAAAGAAACTTCTCGTTCACTTGAGACAATTGTTGAGGGAGGCAACGTACTGGTCAATCTTGCCCAGGAGGAGGACCTTGGTGCGGCTCATTGTGGGAGAGCAATATGCGACTGGTAAAAGTTGGAGATGATGCAATTGTCAGAGTGAAGCGGGTATCTAGAAGGAGAAATAGTGAGAAAGAGAAAATGAGATTCTATCAAAGAA